CAAGAGGGATGCTCTGGAAGCCAAATGAAGGCAGTGTTTTGAGGAAGAGGGGATGATGGGCCATATGAAAACCAATAGGTCAAATGCTGTTAACGGGTCAACTAAAGTGAGGACTGAGAAGTATTCACGAATTTAGCAATGTGGAGCTCATTGGTGACCCTCATAAGAGCTGTTTTGGTGGAATGGAGGAGGTAAAATCCTGGAGGGAGAGAACATAAGAATACGTGAACAGTTGACAGTGCATATAAACAACTCTTTCATGGAACTTTGTATTTCTGAATTTTCATTTATTTGGATGTTAATAAAATCATCGGATATAGCTTTATTTTAGTAAGATTTGTTTTGTGGAACTTCAGTTGTGTATACGCATATGTGTGTGCATGTATGTGCGTATGGCGTTTTGATGGAAAATTTATTAATCGTGGGTCATGGTTAAAAAAAAAAAAGCCTGAGAATAAGGAGTTAGATCAAGAAGGTAGAAGGAATGTTGACATAAGTTGTGGATATAGGAGATTCTACCCATGTGGACACAGTGGAAGGATTTAGGGAGTTGGAGCAGGTTAGGATATATATGTGACCAAAAAGCAGGAGTTTAGCTCTCTCACTTACCCCTGCTTTTACCATGTGATGTGTCTGCTACCCCTTCACCTTCCACGATGACTGTAAGCTTCCTGAGGTCTCCCTAGAAGCCAAGCAGATGGCAGCACCATGCTTCCTGTAAAGCCTGCAGAACCATGAGGCAATTAAACCTCTTTGTAAATTATCCAGTTTGAGGTATTTATAGCAGTATAAGAATGCCCTAATACAGAAAACTGGTACCAAGAAGTTGGGCATTGCTATAAAGATACCTAAAAATGTGGAAGCAGCTTTGGAACTGGGTAGTGAGTAGTGGTTGGAAGAGTTTGCAGGGCTCAGAAAAAGACAGGAAAATGAGGGTAAGTTTGGAACTGTTTTTTTTTTTTTTTTTTTTTGAGGTGGAGTCTTGCTCTGTCACCCAGGCTGGAGTGCAGTGGTGTGATCTTGGCTCACTGCAACCTCTGCCTCCCAGGTTCAAGCGATTCTCCTGCCTCAGCCTCCCATGTAGCTGGGGTTACAGGCATGCGCCACCACGCCTGGCTAATATTTTTGTATTTTTAGTAGGGATGGAGTTTCACCATGTTGGCCAGGCTGGTCTTGAACTCCTAACCTCAGTGATTCACCCACCTCGACCTCCCAAAGTGCTAAGTGTCATGCGCGTCTGTGTGAAGAGACCACCAAATAGGCTTTGTGTGAGCAACATGGCTGTTTATTTCACCTGGGTGCAGGCGAGCTGAGTCCGAAGAGAGTCAGTGAAGGGAGATAAGGGTGGACTGTTTTATAGGATTTGGGTAGGTAAAGGAAAATTACAGTCAAAGGGAGGTTGTTCTCTGGTGGGCAGGAGTGGGGGTTACAAGGTGCTCAGTGGGGGAGCTTTTTGAGCCAGGATGAGTCAGGAAAAGGAATCCCACAAGACAATATCATCCCTTAAGGCAAGGACCGGTCATTTTCACTTCTTTTGTGGTGGAATGTCATCAGTTAAGGTGGGGCAGGGCATTTGCACTTCTTTTGTGATTCTTCAGTTACTTAAGGCCATCTGGGAGTATATGTGCAAGTCACAGGGAATGCGATGGCTTGACTTGGGCTCAGAGGCCTGACTCTAAGTTTACAGGCGTGAGCCACCACTCCCGGCAAGTTTGGAACTTCTTTTTTTTCTCTGTCGCCCAGGCTGGAATGCAGTGGCGCCATCTTGGCTCACTGCAAGCTCCACCTCCTGTGTACATGCCATCCTCCTGTCTCAGCCTCCCAAGTAGCTGGGACTACAGGCACCCAACACCAATTTTTTAAAATTTTTTGTAGTTTTAGTAGAGACGGGATTTCACCATGTTAAGCCAGGATGGTCTCGATCTCCTGACCTCGTGATCCACCTCCTTCGGTCTCCCAAAGTGCTGGGATTACAACCATGAGCCACCGCGCCTGGCCAAGTTTGGAATTTCTTAAGAGACTGGTTAAATGGTTGTGACCAAAATGCTGATGGTGATATGGACAGTGAAGTCCAGGCTGACAAGGTCTCAAAAGGAAACAAGTAATTTATTGGGAACTGGAACAAAAGTCACGTTATGCCTTAGCAAATAACTTGGCTGCATTCTGTTTGTGCCCTAGGGATCTGTGGAAGTTTGAACTTAAAAATTATGACCTAGGGTATCTGGCAGAAGAAATTTCTAAGCAGCAAAGCATTCAAGATGTGGCCTGCTGCTTCTAACAGCCTGTGCTGAGATGTGGGAGCAAATGAATGACTTAAAGTTGGAACTTACATTTAAACAGGAAGCAGAGCCTAAAAGTTTGGAAAATTTGCAGCCTAGCCATGTGGTAAAAAAATAGAAAACACTTTCTCATCAAGGAATTCAAGCAGGCTGTGGAGCAACCACTTGTTGATATTTGCATAACTGAAAGGGATCCAAGTGGTAATATCCAAGACAATGGGGCAAAGGCCTCAAAGGCATTTCAGAGACCTATGGGGCAGCCCCTCCTATCATAGGCCCTGAGGCCTAGGAGGACTGAATGTTTTCCTGAGCTGGGCCCTGTATGCACCCTCAGAACACTGCATCCAGATGGCTCCAACTCCAGCAGGGGCTCAAAGGGGCCCAGGTATAGCTTGGGCTGTTACTTTGGAGGGCATAAGCCACAGCCTTCACAGCTTCCATTAGGTGGTAAGCCTGCAGGCGCACAGAATGCAAAAATGGTGGATTCTTGGTAGCCTCTGCCTGGATTTCAGAGGATGTATGGAAAAGCCTGGGTGTCCAAACAGAAGCTTGCTGCAGGGGCAGAGCCCTCACAGAGAGCCTCTACTAGGGCAGTGTGGAGGGGAAATGTGGGGTTAAAGGCCCCATGCAGAGTCCCTACTGGGGCACTGCCTAGTGGAGCTGTGAGAAGAGGGCTACTGTTCTCCAGACTCCAGAATGGTGGAGCCACTAGCAGCTTGTACCCTGCACCTGGAAAAGCCACAGGCAATCAACTCCAGCCTGTGACAGCAGCCTCAGGGGCTGAACTCTGCAAAGCTATAGGAGCAGAGCTGCCCAAGGCCTTGGGAGCCCAATCCTCATATCAGCATGCCACATGGAGATCATTGTGGAGTTTTATGATTCAATGACTGGCATGCTGGGTTTTGAACTTGCATGGGGCCTGTAGCCCCCTTTTTTGGCAGATTTTTCCATTTTGGAATGGAAATATTTCCCCAACCCCTGAACCCTTACTGTATGTTGGAAGTAAATAATTTGTTTTTCATTTTATAGGCTCATAGGTGGAAGGGATTTGCCTTGTCTCAGATGAGACTTTGGACTTCTGAGTTAATGCTGGAATGAGTTAAGACTTTGGGGGACTGTTGGGAAGGCATGGTTGTATTTTGCAATATGAAAAGGACATAAGACTTGGGAGGGGCCAGAGGTGGAATGATATGGTTTGGATATTTGTCTCTACTCATGTTGAATTGTGTCCCCAGTGTTGGAGATGTGGCATGGTGGGAGGTGTTTGGATCATGGAGGCAAATCCCTCATGGCTTGGTGTTATTTTTGTGTTGATACCGAGTTCTCATGAGATCTGGTCATTTAAAAGTGTATGGAACCTGCCCCCCCCCCCCACTGTCTCTCACTTGTTTCTGCTTTTGTCATGTGACATGTGTGCTCACCTTCCACCATGATTTTAAGTTCCTGAGGCCTCCCTAAAAGCCGAGCAGATGCCAGCACCATACTTCCTGTGAAGCCTGCAGAACCGTGAGTCATCTAAACCTCTTTTCTTTATCAAAGAAAGAAAAGGAAGGAAGGGAGAGAGGGAAAGAGAAAGGGAGACAGGAAGAGATGGATGGAGGAAGGGAGGGAGGGCTTACAACCATGAGGACAGGTGCTGGGTCAATGAGGGATGACTTGGGAGTCCTATGAAGACTGATGTAAACTAGAATAAAGAGCGTGATGAGCTTATGATTCAAAAGTATTTTGTCATAGAAGTAGTTCATTTTCTGTAAAACAACAGAGTAAATATTTTAGCTTTGTAGGCCACTGATAGTCTCTGTTGCTTTAAAAAATGTGAAAACCATTCTTAGCTTGAGGGCTGGACAGTCCAGGGCCATACTTTACTGACCCCTGCTTGAACTAAAAGCCCTTAGAAGAAGCTCTGGACAAATAATTTGCATGGAATCTTACGAGTTTTTAACATATTATGATGTTCGGTAGTTTAGGTATATTAAATGCCTGACGTACAATATTTTTACTTACAATGGGTTTTTCAGGATATAACCCTGTTGTAAGTTGAGGAGCATCTGTATATTTTTATTTTATTTTTACTTTTTTTGAAACAGAGTCTTGCTCTGTCACCCAGGCTGGAGTGCAGTGGCATGATCTCGGCTCACTGCAACCTCCGCCTCCTGGGTTCAAGCAATTCTCCTGCCTCAGCCTCCCAAGTAGCTGGGACTACAGTTGCACACCACTATGCCTGGCTATTTTTTTTTAATTTTTTTTGTATTGTTAGTAGAGACAGGATTTCACCATGTTGGCCAGGCTGGTCTTGAACTTCTGACCTCAAGTGATCTGCCCACCTTGGCCTCCCAAAGTGCTGGAATTACAGGCGTGAGCCACTGCATCCGACCAAGCATCTGTATATTAAACTTTCCCCATTCAAATTGCTGTGTGGTTTCTGTCTCCTGACTGGATTCTGATATAATGCTTAACAACCTTTCTAATTACAAAGGTATTACATATAAAATCAGACAAGCAAGAAGACTATCCATCCCACCTTCTAGTACTCTTGCCCTCCAGAGGTAGCTCCAGTTAACGTCTTAGTGCTAAACTAGATTTATTTTTGTTTTAAATAGAAAAATAATGCAGGCACTAGTAAAACAAAAAGCGATACAGAAAGGGAGAGAGTGAAAACTAAGAATGGCTTCCAGGCCCACTTCCTAGAGGTACCCACTATTAACATTTGTAGATACATCCTTCCAGAATATTTTTCCAGTTTTATTTAGGTATAATTAACAAATTAAAATTATGTATATTTCAGTTGTACAACATGGATGTTCAACATGTTTTGGTATACATATACTTTCTGATATGATAAATGGTTACCACAAGCAAGCTCATTAACATATTCAGAAATTCTTAATGTAGCTAGAAATGTAAGTGGTTTTGTTTTTTGTTTTTTGTTTTGAGACAGGGTCTCACTCTGTTGCCCAGGCTGGAATGCAGTGGCGCCATCTCAGCTCACTGCAACCTCTGCCTCCCGGGTTCAAGCAAGTCTTGCATCTCAGCTGCCCTAGTGACTGGGACTACAGGCATGTGCCACCACACCTGGCTAGTTTTTGTATTTTTAGTAGAGATGGGGTTTCACCATGCTGGCCAGGCTGGTCTCAAATTCCTGACCTTAAATGATTCGCCCGCCTCAGCCTCCCAAAGTGCTGGGATTACAGGTGTGAGCCACTGCACTCAGTCGTAAGTGGTTTTCTAAACAAATGAGACCACACCATACATACTGTCCCTATATTTCATACTTGGGCAAGGGGAGGAGAATGGACTTCTTTCTTACTAAAAATAAAAATGAGGATAAAAGTATGGTTGTTTACCAACTTATAGTAGTATCATGAATTTAGAATGGTCTTCTGGCCATTCAGAAAACTACTTAACTGGTAGGAATGAAATTCTGGACACTGACATTGATATAGACACTCATATCAAATATAATACTATGAAATACTATGATATGGAAATAATATTATGAAATCACTAGAGATAAAATATTTTCTACCCAAGGAGAGTGGATTCATAAGAAAATTCTAAATTATAGCATATGTTGAACTCTGAAAAGCCTCTGGAATAAAGTCCAGGTCCCTAACCCCTGTTTCCTCTTTACACTGGCAGTGGATAAAGGGAAAGTAAGTTAATTCTACTGTACCAAAGCTAGTTCAATATAGAAAACAGGTTCTATAAGGCTTAAGGAATATCTCTTGACCCACAGAAGATTCATGTGGATCCTGTGTTAAACTCGTTTCATCCATGTATGAAACCGATTCAACCATTAAGTTAGCCATTTATTATATAAATTGAACATTTCTTCTTCCATATTGTGGCTTTTAGATAGATTGGCAGACCTGTCCCCAACCCCTTCCCTGTTGACCATGGACAATAGAGCGTTAGCTGTATCAGCTTGATTGAAGGGTTTACCTTTAGCTGGGGTGGATTTTTCAGGGACCTCAAAGGTATTGGTGATGATTTATTTCTTGAGCTTGGTGGTGAGTATGCAGGACTGTTTTTTGTTTTGTTTTGTTCTGTTTTTTAGCGAGCCTTACACATTTTCTTTTGTATGCAATATTTAATAAAATAATTTTGGATAAGTTGGTTTTTAGCATTAATTGAACAACTTTTTTTACATCCTCAATGTGCCACAAGACAAATTATTGATTCAGCAGTTTTTAGCTGAATCTTTTATTTCTGAATGATTGGAGAGAACGGCAATATCCATTTCTGGAGAATAGTTAAGTACTTAGATTGAGGATGTCTTTCTTTCATGACATTAAGCAATGCAATATCATCTGCATCCAAGAGCCAACTTAACATGTTCAGTCTAATGAGGCTTGGCAGTCGTAACACACATTGACTCAAAGACTTGACTGTTGTGGCCTGAGCTTTGATACACTCTGTGAAATGCCTGCAGATGTTCAACTCCTGCAAGTTTGGCATGTTGTCCAGTGCTCGAAAGAAATTTCTGTATCCTTCCTCTGTAATCTTGTGATTGATTGAAAGATTTAAGTTCTCAAGTTTCTGGAAACCTCCATTGATTGCTACTTTGGCTACAAAAACAAAATATTTATGAAAATAGAATCATAAGGACTTCCATTTCAATAATGGTGGACTAGGTTATTTTAACCAGCCTCCTCTCCCACCACCACTACTAGTAGGAAGTGCTCAATATAATTTTGTTTTTTGAAATGCGGTCTTGCTGGGTTAACACAGGCGGGTCTCTTTTTCTTTTTCTTTTTCCCCCTTTTTTTTTTTTTTTTTTGAGATGGAGTCTTGCTCTGTCACCCAGGCTGGAGTGCAGTGGTGCAATCTCGGCTCACTGCAACCTCTGCCTCCCAGGTTCACGCCATTCTCCTGCCTCAGCCTCCAGAGTAGCTGGGACTACAGGCGCCCACCACCATGCCAAGCTAATTTTTTGTATTTTTAGTAGAGGTGGGGTTTCACCATGTTAGCCGGGATGGTCTCGATCGCCTGACCTTGTGATCCACCTGCTTCGGCCTTCCAAAGTGCTGGGATTACAGGTGTGAGCCACTGCGCCTGGCCATCACAGGCTGGTCTCAAACTCCTGGACTCAAGTGATCCTCCTGCCTCAGCTTCCCAAGTAGCTGGGATTACAAGCACATGTCACTGTGCCCAGCTTAATGTAATATTTTAAAAATATCTCCTTAAAAAACTCAAAGAGCTGATGGGTTAATAAAGAAGCACCTGGCAAAAATATAAGGGAGAAGCAGAAACCAAAGAAGTACAGCCAAGTCTTAAAGCACCGACGCCATTGTGCTGAGAGTTTCTCCATCCTGGACAAATACGAGCTTCTCTTTTGGTCTCACAGGAGGTCACATCGTGGCTACAAACCAGACTAAGTTGGCCGGTCACACTGGCTCAACGCCTGTAATCCCAGCACTTTGGGAGGCCGAGGTGGGTGGATCACTTGAAGTCAGGAGTTTGAGACCAGCCTGGCCAACATGGTGAAACCCCGTCTCTACTAAAAATATAAGAATCAGCCGGATATGGTGGCGCATGCCTGTAATCTCAGCTGCTCGGGAGGCTGAGGCAGGAGAATCAGTTTGAACCTGGGAGGTAGAGGTTGCAGTGAGCCGAGATCCCACTACTGCACTCCAGCCTGGGTGACAGAGCAAGACTCCGTCTAAAAAAACAAAACAGAAAAACAGAACAAAACAAAAAAACACAAAAAAACGAAAAAGAAAAATCCAGACTAAATTACAAGGGACTTCAGAAATTGTGGCAACTATGTCTTCCCCTTTTATAGAGAAGGGGGTGTGACATTCCTAAAGCCATGTCATCTGACTGTCTACTGCTATGCCCTATTTCTGTTGCCCAGAAGGGACCCTCCTGTTTGAGACGAAAGTCTCTGAAGGAAACGGAAGCTGGGCACACCCTGTGTTCTCAATGAACACAGGTTGACTAGACTTTGGAATGGGTACCGAGCAGAGTTTTTGTTGTTTCGTTTTGGGGTTTAAAAAAAAATTTTTTTTTTGAGACAGGGTGTCACTTGGTTGCCTGGGCTGGAGTTGCAATGGTTCAGTTATAACTCACTGCAGCCTAGAATTTCTGGGCTCAGGCAATCCTCCCGCCTCAGCCTCCTGAGTCCTAGCTACTCAGGACTAGCCACCATGGTTGGCTAATTTTTTCAATTTTTTATGGAGATAAGGTCTTGCTATATTGCCCAATCTTGTCTCAAACTCCTGGCCTCAAGCAGTCCTTCTGTCTTGGCCTCCCAACGTGTTGGGATTACAGGCATGAGCCACTATGCCCAGCTTTGTTTTTAATTGCTAAACCTCTTTTTTTTTTCTAACTTGGGCAAAGGTTAAGTTTGGTTTCAATCTAGAATCTATGACTGTAGCTTGACTGAGGTTAAAGAACAGAGGGACTGAGAAAATGTCTTCAGCTATGTCCTGAATAGGTATCTTCAGTAACATTCAAGAGATATTTCTCATTCCCCCACATGAAGGACACTTCTGGAGGGACTTGAAGACAGACTCAGGTCTTCCACATGCATTCCCTTCTTTCCCCTGTTTCAGCATAACGTCCACTTCCTATTGTGTTGTTAGCCAGTTCCGTGATGTGTCTGAATGCTGTCTCCCACAGGTAAAGTTTAAGCATTACTGACTACTGGCAAACAGTGGCCTCTCAGCTGTCCCTCAGAAGCAGCTACGGAAAAGTAATCTTGCTTTGTTCAGTCAACAGATATCTATTGAGTTCCCACTGTGGGCCAGGCATACCCTGCTGGGTGCTGGGAAGAGAAAACACCCGCTGTCAGGAGGGAGAGGGACAGGGGTTACTGGCTCAAGAGATCTGTGTGAGAGTCAAGTTCTAAGGAAGGCTTTGACCTAATGTAGTGAGAAGAATAAAACACAAATAATTTATAGTAAATGAGGATGAGAGAGACCATAAAATTTACTGTCATTAAATTCTTCCTCATAAGGAGGAAGAAACAAGGCCTTTAAGAAAAAAGGCTGTAAGTTGTCATTGTTTTTTAGTTTTTTTTTTTTTTAGATAACATAAAATAACAGTGCTGAGCAGTAAGAAAATGAGATGCAGCCCTTGTAACACACCCGGCAAAGCCTCTCCGTTCGGGCTTTTACTTTCCTCTCCAGTCTTTTTCTCACAACTCACTCCTGCCTTTTGCTCCAGATATTCCTTTTTTCCCCCCAAGTTCTTCAAATACATCTGGTTCTCTTTAACTCCAGGCTGTGACCTAAGTGATTACCTCTGTTTGAAATGATGTCTCAATCCCTCCTCTACCAACTATGTCTGGGTCATTCTTCCTTCAGGTCTCGACAGAAATCTCAATTCCTCAGGCCAGGCACCGCGGCTCATGCGTGGAATCCCAGCACTTTGGGAGGCTGAGGTGGGCAGATTACTTGAGGTCAGGAGTTTGAGACCAGCCTAGATAACATGACGAAACCCCGTCTCTACTAAAAATACAAAAATTAGCTGGGTGTGGTGGTGTACGCCTGTAGTCCCAGCTACTCAGGAGGCTGAGGCAGGAGAATCACTTGAACCCAGGAGGCTGAGGTTGCAGTGAGCCGAGATCCCGCCACTGCACTCCAGCCTGGGCGACAGAGCAAGACTCTGCCTCAAAAAAACAAAAGAAAAAAAAAAAGAAAAAGAAAAAGAAATCTCAGTTCCTAAAAAAGGGCTCCCCTGGTTCCAAATTAGGTTGAGTCATTCTGCTATATGCAAAAAGAGCAGAGAAAGAATGGAGGAGAAGAATCGGGCAGAAGCTATATGCATATTGGCCAAGAACTTCCCAAAACGGATAAGAGACATCAAGCACAGAGCCAATCAGTTCTAGAAACCACAAGCAGAGTAAATACAAAGAAAACCCACCAGGACACATTAGCGTGCACCTGCTGCTGTTGTCTGCTCAGGTGGCCATAACAAAATGCCCTAAAATGTCCTATCTCCAGATACAAACACATTGGGGGTTAGGGCTTCAACACATGGATTCTGGGGGGTACACAAGTTCATAGCAACTGCCACAAAAGAAAACAAAGAAAATAATCTTAAAAGCCACCAAAGGAGGGGGAAAAGATACCTCACCTTCAAGAGCACAACAAAAAGACGACAGCCGCCGAAACAAAAGATACTATGGAAGCTAGAGATGTGAGAGAAAATACGCGCCAAAAATAGAAGTCTATACTCACTGAAAAAAATATATTTCAAAAGCAAAGTAAAAGACCTTTCTAGGCTGGGCACGGTGGCTCATGCCTGTAATCCCAGCACTTTGGGAGGTCAAGGAGGGCGGATCACTTGAGGTCAGGAGTTCGAGACTAGCCTGGCCAACATGGTGAAACCCTGTGTTTACTAAAAATACAAACACTAGCCGGGTGTGGTGGCAGGCACCTGTAATCCCAGATACTTGGGAGGCTGAGGCAGGAGAATCGCTTGAACCCAGGAGGCAGAGGTTGCAGTGACCTGAGATCGTGCCATTGCACTCCAGCCTGGGCAACAAGCGAAACGCCATCTCAAAAGAAAAAGAAAAAAAGAAAATTCAGTGAGCAGTACATATATGATTTTTGTACTCTCCTGTGTGTGTATTCATCTTCAGTTTTAAAAAGGAGTACTTAGGAGGATATGTGACCAGGTGTCTGAAACACCAGGTGACAAGAACACAGATTTGAGGGCTTGTATATCCACAAATGGGAGACCTTTTTGTACTTCCAAATCTGACCAGAATGCGCCTAAATCCAAGAAGGACACTAGGAGGGACAGTATGATAGTGAAAATGAGGAAGTGGGTTGAAAATTTCTAGAGGGACAAATGTTTATATAGACATGTTGCAGCAGAAAGCTTGGCTATACCACTGGCTTCCATGCAAGCTGAAACACTAGCTCACCAATTTCCACCACGCTGTCATCATTCAACGTCTGGAAAAATGAGAGGACTCGGAGACAATGAAGCTGCTGACACTGCTGGATGATCAGTTTGGCCACTTGATAAATTGCATCCCCAGTAGGAAGGATCAATTCTTCCAGGTTACTAAGAGAACCTAAAATGTAGGCTGTCAGAAAAGACCAAAAAGCTATTCTCTTTGTACTTTTTGTTCCTGTGCAACAGTAATCTGAAAATCATGCATGGTCTAAACATCATGCACAGTCCAGGAAACTCCATGTAGCAAAGAGGCCATTCCTCTTGCTCTCCCAGGGCAAGAGAAGGGCCGGCACATGCTTTCATCTTCCTGGCTCCTCCAGACAATTCCTCCACCACCCCCTACCAACCAATCTCTCCTGCACTGAAGTCCAGGCTGCCAGTTAAATCTCCATTTCCTCATTTAGAATGAAGCTTTTCCTGACCTGCAGTTTCCTTTCCTAGCTCTGCAATGCCTTCAGCCACCTCCTTTCCCATTCCACCTCCCACTGTCATCCTCAGTGATTCTGCACCGGCCTCCCAGCCCTAAAGCCTCACACTCCACCACTCTTAGAACCTTCCTTTTCACTTTGACGCCTTCCTAGCATGGCACACTATAGATCATTTGATCATTAGAAAGTTAACTTCTGAGGCCTCACGCATGGAAATATATTGATGTCCCAGGCTTATTTTCTTTCCCTGTCTCAGTTCTTGAATCAGCCAATTTTGCAAGGACCCTGGTTCCTTTAAGGAAGGACAGGATTTAGAAATCAGTATCTAGGCACTTGGTGTGTTCATTATTACTGCAGTACCTTCTAGTCTCTCCATTGACTGAACTGAGAAATATGTATGTGTGTATCTACAGACGTGGAGATCAGTGTATATATACAGAGGTATCTATTTATGTATGTTCATAGGTTAAAAAACCATGAGGCCAGACCAATATTTCCAATTCTAATCCAATACCTCGAAGCTCGTTCTAGCCTCACCTTTCAGTATTAGTAAATTCCTTTTCCAACTGTGAGGAAATGTGGCTCTCGTTATACTCACTGTTTTGTTTCTTTGTTTGTATGTTTGTTTTTGAGATGGAGTCTTGCTCTGTCACCCAGGCTAGAGTACACTGGCCTGATCTTGGCTCACTGCAATCTCTGCCTCCCAGGTTTGAGAGATTCTCCTGCCTCAGCCTCCCAAGTAGCTGGGACTACAGGCATGTGCCCCCACGCCCAGCAAATTTTTGTATTTTTTAGTAGAGACGGGGTTTCACCATGTTGGCCAGGCTAGTCTTGAACTCCTGACCTCAGGTGATCCACCCACTTCGGCCTCCCAAAGTGCTGGGATTACAGGCATGAGCCACTGCACCTGGCTATACTCACAGTATTATTTGCTTAATCAACCTGTGATATATGCCAGCCATCCCCTTGGCCCTGATCCTACCTCTGCCATCTCAGCCCCCACCCACCTAGCTACCTCCAAAGGAAGAGAAGAGAAGAAGAGGAGGATCCTGGCAATCTTTATGCACGCTTATGTTTGAGAAGCACTTTGAATAGCACAGCTCTACAGTTCCTATCTCCACTGCCTCACTTTATTTTTTTTTTCCTGTTAGAATATTTTCGATGAGCATACATTACTTTCATAATCATTTTTTAAAAATCAGAAAGTATTTAAATTCTACAGCTATCATTTTATGAAACATAGGGTTTCACATATTGAGTTTTCTTAACCTTAAAAGATAGATTTTTACTTATATTCTAGTAACCTTTGAAACTATGAGGTCTTATATTTGGAACAGATACCTGACAATGAAATTGCATAGTGCTATAATGACCAAATATGTACTCTAAGAAGTCATTCTGCTTTGAATGAGATCAAGTCTGGAGGTAAAACTATAGTGAAGGCATTTGGTGGGTAGAAATTGAGCATCACTATCGCTTCGTTCTAGTAAGCAAGGGTAGCTAATACATATCTTACTTCCTTGTGGCTAACTAAAAATAGGAGAAAAAGGATTCTGGGCAGAAAGAGAATAAGAGTACGTAAAAAGCACTATTTTGTAAACATACCAAATTTTTCCGATGTTTCCTCATCAGGAAAATGCTGGCCTGCAAGATTTAATATCTTCAGAGAAATAAAATTTGGCAAAATGGCAACTATGAAAGGGAAAATAAAAATTTAGTTATGTCCGCTACATCTCTCACAGCAAAGCGTAACATCTTTAAAATGAAGAAATTAGAAATTAATGTAATAATTCGGATTGAATTCATATGACTAAGTAGATAAAACAAATTTTTGCTCAGAAAATAATTCTGATAACTAGAAATGTCATTAAAATTCTAGAAATTTCAAATCCAACTGAACTTAAAGGTAAAAAAGAAAATTCTGGAAACACATATACTTTATTATTTAAGAAACAATTTTTCTCTTTTTTTCTTTCTTTTTTTAAAGAGACAAGGTCTCTGTCACCAAGGCTGGAGTGCACTGGTACCATCACAGCTCGCTGCAACCTCAACCTTCTGGGCTCAAGGAATCTTCCTGCCTTCTTCCCTGGTAGCTGGGATTACAGGTACCACTGTGCCCAACTGATTTTTTAAAAACTTTTCAGAGATGGAGGACTTGTTATGTTGCCCAGACTGGTCTCAAACCCCTGACCTCAAGCGAGCCTCCTGCCTCAGCTTCCCAAAGTGCTGGGATTACAGGCATGAGTCACCACACCCAGCCTCAAAATATGGCTCTTTTTAAAGAGTGGTTAATATGACTCTGTGTCCATAGAAACATCTTTTTTTTTTTTTTTTTGTGAGACAGAGTCTCGCTCTGTTGCCCAGGCTAGAGTGCAGTGGCCAGATCTCAGCTCACTGCAAGCTCCACCTCCCGGGTTTATGCCATTCTCCTGCCTCAGCCTCCCGAGCAGCTGGGACTACAGGCGCCCGCCACCTCACCCGGCTAGATTTTTTTTGTATTTTTTAGTAGAGACGGGGTTTCACCGTGTTAGCCAGGATGGTCTCGATCTCTTGACCTCGTGATCCGCCCGTCTCGGCCTCCCAAAGTGCTGGGATTACAGGCTTGAGCCACCGCGCCTGGCCAGAAACATCTTAAACCACAATTGTAATATTATAACTCTTACCAAATGGGACGGCTTCAAAAAATGAACCCGAAAACTTAATTTCTGTGAGTTTCTTACAGGAAGCAAGTACAGTCATGAGAGACTCAAAATCCGAAAAGGAGTTACACTTCAGATGGAAAACATGAAGGTTTGGAGAATTTCGAATCAATTTTACTGTAAAAGATCAAGGATTTTCAGAAATTAGAAAATACTGCAAATTTCTATCAAAATTAGCCAAGTAGTTTATTATTTTGTTTCAATAATACTGAATTAAAACCAGCTACCACGATGTCATGATCTAAGAATCAGGTCACTGGACTTGGGTTCAGGTTCTGCAACTAACAACTGATGTGAATTTTGACACATTATTGACCCTCTCTGGATAACAGTTTTCTCTTCTATAAAATACAGGCATTGACTCAGTAGCATCACCTTCAGCTTTAACATCTAATAACTCTTAAGTTTGTACATGACATTTGCACAATAAGAATACTGTACAAAGAGGCCAGGTGCAGTGGCTCACACCTGTAATCCCAGCACTTTGGGAGGCCGAGGCGGGTGGATCACCTGAGCTCAGGAGTTCAAGACCAGCCTGACCAACATGGTGAAACCCTGTCTCTACTAAAAATACAAACATTTGCCGGGCGTGGGTGGCAGGCGCCTGTAATCCCAACTACTCAGGAGGCTGAGGTAGGAGAATCACTTGAACCCAGGAGGCAGAGGTTGCAGTGAGCCGAGATCACGCCACCAAACTCCAGCCTGGGCAACAGAGCAAGACTGCATCTCAATTTAAAAAAAAAAAAAAAAAAAAGAATACTACACAAAGAATACTGTAATCCTAGCACTTTGGGAGGCCGAGGCGGGCGGATCACCTGAGGTCAGGAGTTTGAGACTGGCCTGGCCAACATGGTGAAACCCTGTCTCTACTAAAAATATTAAAAAATTAGCCAGGCTTGGTGGTTGATGCCTGTAATCCCAGCTACTTGGGAGACTGAGGCAGGAGAATTGCTTGAACCCAGGAAACGGAGGTTGCAGTGAGCCAACACGGTGCCACTGCACTCTAGCCTGGGCGACAGAGTGAGACTCTATCTCAAAAAAAAAAAAAAGAAAAAGAAAAAGAAACATAAAAGGAATGACAACTCTGAAGCAAAACCTAAATTTGTTTCAAAAATTGCTGACAAATATAACTACCACCTCCAGCTTCGATGTGTATACGTACACACACACACACACAAACACACACACAAGTTTCGCTGTTGTTCCCCAGGCTAGAGTACGATGTTGCAATCTCGGCTCACACTGCAATCTCTGCCTCCCTGGTTCAGGCAATTCTCCTGCCTCAGCCTCTCAAGTAGCTGGGATTAGAGGCATATGCCACCATGCCAGCTAATTTTTGCATTTTTAGTAGAGACAGGGTTTCACCATGTTGCTCAGGCTGGTCTCAAACTCCTGACTTCAAGTGATCTGCCCTTCTTGGTCTCCTAAAGTGGTGGGATTACAGGCGTGAGCCATCATACCCGGCCTATATTAGGGATTAAGAAACTCAGATTTTAGAGTCAATATTCCTCTATTTGAGTCACAGATCTACATTTCCTTAGCTGGATATTACAAATTACTTAATCTCTTTATGTCTCAGTTTTCCCAGCTACAAAAGAGCATTAGTAATAGTACTTTACTTCATAGAGTGAGTTATGAAGACTGAGTTAATATTTGTGAAGTGCTTAGGACACTTCCTAGTGTGTAGTAAAGGCTCAATAATTACAAATAGCGCTCTGCTTTCTTAATGAGAAAGAGTGCTATTCCTCACAATTTACCATGGATACAGGCTACACCCTTAGAACCACAGAAACTTTAACTCTTAAGTAAATTATTGGCCAAGTAGCTTTTCCAACCGATGTAAAAAACAAGCATATTAAAGTGCCATCCTTACCTAGTTTGGAAGGATCACAGTCAGCTGAAATTTGAATCAATAATTTCTCCATATGATGGAAGTTTGGAAATTCTTCAGGAATGACTGAAAAAACATTTATGTTGCCCTTCAGATCCACTGACAGTTCTTTCAGGCACAGGAACTTATCCAGATTAGGAAAGATTTGGTCTGGAAAACAGCACACAGTTTCCCATTATTAATCTAAAGAGTTCTGAATGGACATTTTAAAACTGTCATTTTGATTCATCCAGCTATTTTCACATGCAAACCTTCCACATACCATAAAACATTTTTTTTACAGAGTACACATATGGAGATATTGCTGTTTGCAGCATTTACTGATTACGTACTGTGTGGGAAGCCCTGTGCTACTCTTTAGACACAGAAATACAGCATTTCGGCCAGGCGTGGTGGCTCACGCCTGTAATCCCAGCACTTTCGGAGGCTGAGGTGGGCAGGTGATGAGGTCAGGAGTTCGAGACCAGTCTGGCCAACATAGTGAAATCCTGTCTCTACTAAAAATACAAAAAAAAATTAGCTGGGTGTGGTGGTGTGCATCTGTAATCCCAGCTACTCAGGAGGCTGAGGCAGAAGAATTCACGTAAACCTGGGAGACGGAGGTTGCAATATCTAGACAACAGGCAAATTCATAGAGACAGAAAACAGAAGAGAAGTTATCAGGGGCTGGTGGGAGGGAAGATTTTTTAATTTTTATTATTATTATTTTTTGAGATGGAGCCTCACTAGGTAGCCCAAGCTGGAGTGCAGTGGCATGATCTGGGCTCACTGCAACCTCCGCCTCCCAGGCTTAAGTGATTCTCATGCCTCAGCCTCCGAGTAGCTGGAACTACAGGTACATGCCACCACACCAAGCTAATTTTTTGTATTTTAGTAGAGACGTGGTCTCTAACTCCTGAGCTCAGGTGATCCACCCTCCTCAACCTCCCAAAGTGCTGGGATTACAGGCGTGAGCCACCGCACCCGGCCCGGAGATTTATTGTTTAATGGGTAGAGTGTGGGATGATGAAAAGGTTCTGGAGATGGATAGTGGTGATGGTTGTACAACATAGTGAATGCACTTAATGCCACCAAGTTGTACACTTAAAATGATTAAAATGTAAGTTTTGTTACATGTATTTTACCATAAGAAAAAAGTACTTGAAAAAAGATGAAAAATTTTCTAAATTTGGTAAATGTCAACCCACACATCCCAAGAAAGTTCAGTGTACCTCAAGCAAGATATATAAAAAGCAAAGCACACCTAGGCAGGTAACAGTCAAACTGCTTAAGACCAAAGCAATACTAGCAACAATTAGAAAATGAAAAAATATTTTTAATGACATTTACAATACATTCAAAAGATATGAGTATCTAGGAATAAATTTAATGAAAGATGGGTAGAGTCTACACTGAAAACTATCAAATAGTGCTTAGAGGAGTTAAGACACAAATAGATGAAGATCTTATTTCCCATTAATTTATTTATGTCCCAGGGACTATAGGTCTTTCTTCCTTTAGGCAGCTAGGGTGAAGGTAATTTCTAAGCATCATCTCACATATAGCTAATTCTTTTAGTAATAACAAATAATTCATGTCTTTATTAAGAGCCTTCAATAATTTATTTATTTTTGAGACAGTCTCGCTCTGTCGCCCAGGCTGGAGTGCAGTGACACAATCTCGGCTCACTGCAAGCTTCGCCTCCCGGGTTCACGCCATTCTCCTGCCTCAGCCTCCCGAGTAGCTGGGACTACAGGTGCCCACCACCACGCCCGGCTAATGTTTTTGTATTTTTAGTAGAGACGGGGTTTCACTGTGTTATCCAGGGTGGTCTCGATCTCCTAACTTGTGATCCGCCCGCCTCGGCCTCCCAAAGTGCTGGGATTATAGGCATGAGCCACGGCGCCCGGCCCCTTCAATAATTTAATGTAAATATTTTATTCATTTTATCTAAGTTATTTGAAAACCATTCAATTATTCAGGGACTTTTCACTAATTCATGCTACTGTCAAAAAAACATTAGTGAAGGTTTATTTTATATCTATTCTGTCAATGAGCATTCATGCTTTCATGACCTCAGAAGTTTTCAACCACTTAAAGTAAGAAAAAGAAATTACACATCAGAATAGTCATCCAAAATATATACAGGTATACCTTGTGACTGGATTGTCCCTGAGATTTCAAGAGATTCCAGGGAAGGCAGGGTGAGAAGCAGTTCCTCTTCGGCTGCGCTGAGTTCCAATTTGCTTATGGAGCACTTGGTGACAGAGGCCTTAGACAGCTCAAGAGCTGGGCGGATGCTTTCAATAAAGCCTCCGCTGTGGTTTAAATGGAGTTCGATGCGCTGTGAAGCTGAGAAAACTGTCATTAGAATCTCGAGCATCTCCTGGTCTACAGCATCAATATTATTCACATGGACTTCCAGACAAGGAATCTTGTACTGCTTTGGAGAAAGTTTCCAATAGCCAGTACTAAGGTCTGGTGGTGCTGTGCGCTGGATAGCCATATAGCTCTTTACGTTATCCTCTTTTTCAGCTAAATTTTGCTCCCATTCATTCATAGGTTCAAAGGCAGAAGCATAGTCCTGATCTATAGTTGGTGCCTGTGATTTGTCCAAACATGCTTCCAGGACTGAAAAATCGAATCTGGGTGATGTCTTCTTGCCATTTATCGAGACTTGGATGCTCCTCAGCAATGACAAGCTTTCTGGGTGGTCGAAAAAGTACTGTAAGTTAAGTACTTTCAAAGTCAGTGTTCTCCCTTGAAGGAATTGCAAAACAAATGGAGAACACGCAGCAACAGTGTTGCTTTGATAAGCAATTTGCAGGGCAAGAACCAGTAAATATTCTGAAACCATTGAAAAGTAAGCTTGTGGACAAATTTGCCACAATCCCCTAATTAACTGCATCTTCAGTGAAATTTCTGGCTGGTGCTTTAAGTAGTCATCATTTTCAGATATATTCTCCAATGACTCTTTTTTATCCACTAAATGGAGCAAATGAGACACAATTTTGGGCCCTGCTTTTGTTGAAGGGAGGCTGGAGACATAGTTCAAAAAATTGTTGTAGGCGCTTACAGTCATCATGGGTGAGTTGATTTGTGTCAAATAATACAGTCCCAAATCTTGATGTTCCTGCCTATCTGAATCCAGGAGTTCTATCAGCCTCATCCCCGCAAGAAATTCTTGGAAGGCAGGACTTAAAAACTGGTAGGATGGTCTTAGTCTCTGGGCTGTAAATTTGCTCATCAAGCACATGGTTAGATCTTCATCTTCATCAACCCCTGCTTCTGTGAGATCATCATCATTAAACTCAAAGCAACATGAAAAAAACCCTTTCAAGGCCAGCTCACCACAGGAGGATACAGTTGCTTTGAGAAGTTCAGCTGCCACTTTGTTCCTTAAGAAAAGGCGTTCCATATAGGATTTGAAAACAGCCACATCATAAAAGGATGGGTCAAAAGGATACTGAAACCAATGAGCGCAGACTGCCGCCACAAAGAGAGGAGTTTTCTGAATCTTCTGCAAACTTTCGTTCTTTCTAAAGTAAATCATAAACTTTTGCAGACGAGTCATATTATGTGAAAAGAGTTTCCGTAATATAAAGATAGTATTATAAAAGGGAAATGCTTTGATCTCTAGAATCGTCTCTAGGTATCGGCGGATGTCCCTGGCCCTGTCTGTACGGACAGCAATCAATAGGCAGGTCCGTGACAAGTGGTTTTTTTGAATCAGTTTTCCTATGACTTGAGGGACTGAACATATTTCTTTGTAGTCATCTAAAAGGAATAAGACCTGATTCTTCAACTGCTGGAGGATGTTTCTCATGCACATTTCAGTAACAGATACTTCTTTCTCTAGGAGTTGGTCACAGATGATACTGACCAGCCCCTGATCTGGTCTGGTGGAACTAAGGGAGAGGTAGAAAACCAGCTGGAACCTGTTTAACAGGGGACAGCATCCAGACGCCCACAGAAAAGCTATTTTCTTCAGGAGAACCGTCTTTCCACTTCCAGCTTCACCCTCCACACACATGACAGAGTTCAAGCTGGCAAAAACCTCAGGCAGCACCAGGGGCTCCTGCACAGGTTTGCTGATGTGTTTTGAAGCCATGGACAAATCACAGCCCAGCAAGTGGTCCGTGCCCAGATCGGAAGAGATATCAAGCAAAGACATGTGGCGGAAACTGGCGCTGGTATAAGCTGCTCTCAGATGCTCATTCAGATTCTTCGCCTCTTGAAACCACTGGGCTTCACCCTGTGCCACTTCTGTAGAGAAAAGAAAGGGGAAACAACGGGGATACATAGTCACATCTCCCTCAGTCTCAACACCATGCCCTTTTCACTCCATAATTCTGCCTGTCTACTACAAATGTGTTAGGACTTTCCATAGCCATCCACGATTCCCACATTGCGATCATCTCATAGGTTTTGGCACAAAATCAGAATGTGGGAAGCACGTGTCCAAAGTGCCCCACTTGAAACAGGGACCTAGACATAATGTGTGCTTATCATAAGCACCATGGTATCCTATAGTTTCCCATTTAAAACATCTCAGGAAAGAGGCCAGGCAAAGTGACTCAGCACTTTGGGAGGCCGAGGCAGGTGAATTGCTTGAGCCTAGGAGTTCAAGACCAGCCTGGCCAACATGGCAAAACCCTGTCTCTACAAAAAATACAAAAATTAGCCAGGTGTGGTGGCACATGCTTATGGTCCCAGCTACTGGGGAGGCTGAGATGGGAGGATCACTTGAGCCTGGGAGGTCGAGGCTGCGGTGAGCCGTGATCTTGCCATTGCATTCCAGCCTGGGTGACAAAGACCCTGTCTCAAATAAAATAAAATTAAATTAATAAAAATAAAAATCTCAGGAAAGAAGCTTGCTGATTGGTGCTTCTAAGGACTGGTTTGCTTGTACCTGAGACACGTTGCCTACTATCAGTTTGGTCCTGCCTGCACTCTGGAGAAGCCACAAGAACCTTGACTTTTGCTCATACACGACACTGTTGCAAATGCTGTTCCTCTTTGGAAGCTCTTTGAACAATTATAAATACTCTTTTTTTGCAACTGCCCTGTATACAAACATATTTACACATACATATAATCCTACATGCTACTTCAAAGTTCTTACCTGGCACTATAGGATCAACTGCTATTGAATCTTCAAGATGGCTTTCACTTGTGGTTTCCTTTGGAAAATAAAATCCTTTCTTAAATCAAAATTTATATAGGAGGGTGGTGCATCATGTTATAATCACTGGGGACTAAACATCTTCTGAACACAGCCCACCCTCAAATATTTATGCTGACTGAAGGGAAGGGTGCTCCAAATATAAAGCAATTAATAATCTGCAAACATCTGCAAGAGTGTGTGTTCCTCAGTAGTTCATATATGATACAATCCATAGATGAATACTATTCAAGTAATGAGAATCATAGTGTCTAGAGCAAGAAGGATCCTCAAAAGTCATTAGGTGTACCCTCTGTCCTTGGTTAACCACATTTTCAATATTACACATCTGGGATTTAGAAAGGTTATGTTTCTTCCTTAAAAAATAAGCTATTTCTGGCCGGGCGCGGTAGCTCAAGCCTGTAATCCCAGCACTTTGGGAGGCCGAGATGGGTGGATCATGAGGTCAGGAGATCGAGACCATCCTGGCTAACACAGTGAAACTCCGTCTCTACTAAAAAATACAAAAAACTAGCTGGGCGAGGTGGCGGGCGCCTGTAGTCCCAGCTACTCGGGAGGCTGAGGCAGGAGAATGGCGTAAACCCGGGAGGCGGAGCTTGCAGTGAGCTGAGATCCAGCCACTGCACTCCAGCCTGGGCGACAGAGTGAGACTCCATCTCCAAAAAAAAAAAAAAAAAAAAAAGCTATTTCTATATCCCTAAACTTTTTTCTTTAGTACCATTTTTCAATTCACATAAAAAATGAATCAAGTGAATAGCAAGTGGGTTTGTGTGTGTGGGGTGGGGGGATGACAAACATAACATACCTAACACACAGCCTCAAAATAAGGTGGTATGTGTGTGCATTACATTAGTAGTGGCCTATATTCCAGAAAACTATGTAGGATTTCTCAGCTTAAAGTGGTCAGCCTATTACCTGGGTTTATGATTTTCTTGGGCACTTGCTTTTGTTAAAGTAACATCTTCTCAACCCCTAAAAAGGCCAAGTAGCAAATCCAGCCTTATTGCCCTCCAAATGAAGATCCAGAGATGATTCATTTAGTCTGGATGCTAATCAACAAAGTCTAAGAGAGTCTAGGCCTTAAAGTAGAAGAGACTGACTATACATTTCACGAAGCTAGGTATTGTGCCTGACTGGCTTATTGTGATTTCCCCAATCTGTACCTAGAACATAATAGGTGTTTAGTAGATTTTTGTAGAATTTATTAACTTATTTATGATGAGATATTCCTGTTCAAAACAGTTTTCAATTACATGATCATGTGCTACTAAAACAGACAAGATGGTGGTGATCATTACCGGTAATTCACAGACTTCACCAGGGCTCTGAAGGTCTGGAATCACTTCCACAGAGGACTTCATATTTTGGAGAAATGGACAACTACGTGTAAAAGTTAAAAGTTATAAAAGTAGTTGTATGCATTTAAGTATTTGTGTTAGATTTTTTTGTTGTTTTGTTTTGTTTTGTCAGAGAGAGGGTCTCACTATGTTGCCCAGGCTGTTCTGGTTTACAACTTCTGGCCTTGAGCAATCCTCCTCCTTAGGCATCCCAAAGTGCTGGGATTATAGGTGTGAGCCACCACGTCTGGCCTTGTATTTAGGTTTTTAAAAACACTATTAGAGTGTTAGTGACAAGAATTAAGTACAAAACTATTATTTCCAGTGATTTCTCTGTCAGTGTCATCAGGTAAGGCATTTAGGTTGTGGCACTCTGCAAGAGAAACATAAATGGTTTATAAAGTAATGGTAAAGATATCAAGGGAATTTGGTGGAATGAGTGCATATTTAACACTTTTCCATGCAACCAACAAAAATGAACTTAAAGAATCAAAAATAGAAAAAAAAACACAACTATGAATTCTGGAACAAAAAAACCACATTAGTGGAAAAACTGGTGAAATCCAAATAAAATCTGGATTTTAGTAAATAGTAATGTACAGTATATGAATTGGTACATTGATGATTTTGACAAATATGTCATGCTAGTGTAAGATGTTAGCATTAGGGTAAATTGGGTATGGCAATATATAGGAACTCTTTGTATTACTTTGTACTTTTTCTGTAAATCTAAATAATTTCAAATAAAAATGTATTTAAAAAAAACAAAAACAAAAAAAACTCTGTGAGTGAGGTGGTTCATGCCTGTAATCCCAGCACTTTGGGAGGCCAAGGCGGGCAGATCACTTGAGGCCGCAAGTTTGAGACCAGCCTGGCCAACATGGCAAAACCCTGTCTCTATTAAAAAGAAAATTCAAAAATTAACCCGTTCAAGTGATTCTTGTGCCCCAACCTCCCAAGTAGCTAGGACTACAGGCTTGAACCCGGGAGGCGGAGGTTACAGTGAGCCGAGATTGTGCCACTGCACTCCAGTCTGGGTGATGGAGTGAGACTCTGTCTCAAAACAAAACAAAACAAACAAGGCCGGGCATAGTGGCTCATGCCTGTAATCCCAGCACTTTGGGAGGCTGAGGCGGGTGGATCACTTGAAGTCAGGAGTTTGAGACCAGCCTGACCAACATGGTGAAATCTCATCTCTACTAAAAATACAAAAATTAGCCAGGTGTCGTAGTGGATGCCTGTAATCCCAGCGACTTGGGAAGCTGAGACAGGAGAACTGCTTGAACCCAGGAGGCAGAAGTTGAAGTAAGCCAAGATTGCGCTATTGCACTCCAGTCTGGGCAACAGGAGCGAAACTCTGTCTCAAAAACAAACAAACAAACAGAAAAAAACCAACCAACCACAAACTACTCCATTGCCAGGTGCAATGGCTCATGCCTGTAATCCCAGCACTTGGGGAAGCCGAAGTAGGAGGATCGCTTGAGGCCAGAAGTTCAAGACCAGACCAACCTGTGCAACATAGAGAGATCTCCTCTAAAAATTAGCTAGCGGGGTGGCATGTATGTATAGTCCCAGCTACTTGGGGGGCTGAGGCAAGAAGATCGCTTGAGGCCAGGAGGCTGAGGCTACAGAGAGCCGTGACTGCATCACTGCACTCCAGCCTGGGTGACAGAGGAAGACCCTGTCTTAAACAAACAAAAAATTAAAAAAGAAACTCTCCATCAGTATCAAAACAAAAGAATGGCCACAAACATACTCTCTAAAAACTATTTGCCAATCTCGTGAAACTAGGATGCAAATACCCTCTAAACTCAGGTTTGATGTGTGCTTAAAGAACAAGAGAGAAAGTTTAAAAAGATCCCTAGTTGCAGTTATTAAAATGGACAGATGAGAACTATACATGTGAGTAAGTCAGTGGCCCATTCCATGCTGCAGAATCACAGGAGAGCAGGAATAAAGCAAAGAGATACTTTTTTTTTTTTTTTTTTTGAGACAAGATCTCACTCTGTTGCCCAGGTTTGAGGCTAGTGGCACGATCAAGGATCAATGTAGCCTCCAACTCCCAGGCTCAAGTGATCCTCCCACCTCAGCCTCCGAAGTAACTGGGACTACAGGCACGTGCCACCATGCCAGGCTAATTCTTTTTTTTTTGTAGAGACAGGGTCTAACTATGTTGCTTAGGGTGGCCTGGAACTCCTGGGCTCGAGGTATCCTCCCACCTCAGTTTCCCAAAGTGCTGGGATTACAGGCGTGAGCCATTGCATCTGGCCCAGACACTTCATTTGTATTGCCTTCAAGTGACTTGGCGATGAGTCCAGAAATAGAAGCATAGCTTCAGGAAAACAACAAGTAGAACTTTTAATGTTTCTATCCAAAGTCAGCCACGTAGAGGCAAATAAAAACAGACCCACAGGGGAGGGGTGAAGTGGCTTACAAAAGAAAAAAATATATTTTAATAGGCCCATCAAGGAAAATAACCATGAAGGAAGGTAAAATATAAACTTACTCATACAAACAAATGCCAAATAAAGTTAGTTGCCAGCACAACTGCACTACAAAAAATGTGAAAGGGACCGGGCGCGGTGGCTCACCCCTGTAATCCCAGCACTTTGGGAAGCTGAGGCAGGCAGATCATGAGGTCAGGAGTTCAAGACCAGCCTGGCCAACATGGTGAAACTCTATCTCTACTAAAAATACAACAATTAGCCTGGCATGGTGGTGGGCACCTGTAATCTCAGCTACTCAGGAGGCTAAGGCAGGAGAATCACTTGAACCTGGGAGGCAGAGGTTGCAGTGAGCCAAGATTGCGGCACTGCACTCCAGCCTGGGAGACAGAACAAGACTCCATTTCAAAAAAAAAAAAAAAAAGAAGTGAAAGGAAGCACATCAGTTAAAAGGAAAATGATAGCAGATGGAAATTTGGTTCTACTCAAAGGAATGAATAGTACAGGAATGATAACTGACAGGGTAAAAATGGAAGACATTTTCCATTGTAAAAATGTACTTAAATTGTTTAAAGCAAAGATATAACATTATATTGTAATATTTATTAAAGTACATGGAAATGAAATGTATGACAAAAGCACAGAGGATGAGAGGGGAGAAATGAAAATATATTATTGTATGGTTCATACATTTTATGTCAAGGTTATATATTTTTTTGACACAGAGTCTCACTGTGTTACCCAGGCTGGAGTGCAGTGGCACGATCTCAGCTTGCTGCAGCCTCTGCTTCCCGGGTTCAAACAATTCTCGTGCCTTGGTCTCCCGAGTAGCTGGGATTACAGGTGTGCGCCACCACACTGAGCCAATACTTTTGTATTTTTAGTACAGACGGGGTTTCACCATGTTGCCCAGGTTGCTCTGGAACTCCTGACCTCAAGTGATCTGCCTGCCTCAGCCTCCCAGATTACCAGGATTACAGGCATAAACCACTGTGCCCGGCTGTTATAATATTTTTTGAAGATGACTGTGATATGTTAAATAGGCATATGGTAAACTCTACAGCAAGTAGTAAAAAGGTAAAATAAGGATGAATAGCTAATAAGCTGACAGAAATAAGATGGACTACTAAAAAATACTCAAGGAGGGGGTAGAAAAAAGAAAAAAAAAAACCCTAAACCCTAGAAAGTCAGGAAAAGAAAAACAAAGGAGTGATGAAATAAATAGAAAGCAAATGGTAAAATGGTTTAAATCCAACCATATTCATAATTGCATTAAATTTAAACATTCTAAATATTCCAGTTAGAAAGCAGTTATTGTCAGACTCTTAAAAAAGCAAGACCTGGCTGGATGTGGTGGCTCACACCTCCATCTCAAAAAAAAAAGCAAGACCTGCTGGGTTCGGTGGTTCACACGTGTAATCCCAGCACTCTGGGAAGACAAGGCAGGAGAATTGCTTGTGGCTAGGTGTTCACGATCAGACTGGGCAACATAGTGAGACCTTGTCTCTACAAAAAAATGAACAACCTTAGCCAAGTATGCTGGCAAGTGCCCATAGTCCCAGCTACTCAGAAGCCTGAGGTGGGAGGATTGCTTGAGCCTGGGAGGTCCAGGCTGCAGTGAGTCAAGACTGCACCACTGTACCCAGCGCAGGCAACAGAGCGAGAATCTGTCTCATAAAAAAATAAAAAATAAAATAAAAGACCCCACCTGTGTTGTTGCCTATAAGAAGTCACTTTAAGGCTGGGTGCAGTGGCTCATGCTTGTAATCTCAACACTTAGGATGGCAGAGGTGGGAGGACAGCTTGAGCCCAGGAGTTTGAGATCTGCCTAGGCAACATAGTGAGACCCCGTTACCCACAAAAAGGAAAAGGAAAAAACAAGAATTCACTTTAAATGTAGTCACAGATAGATTAAAAAAAAAAAATGAAATAAGATCACTAAGAAATAGATATAAAATGTAAGCATGGAGCTAAAATGGGGACGGAGGGAGTGAGTGAGATGCACTCCAGCCGGCGAAGAGACCATCTAAAAAAAAAAATAAATAAATAAAAAAATAAATAAAATGATCTAAAAGATGTAACATGAAAAAAACTAATAAAGGCCTAAAAAATACTATCAGGGATAAAGAGGGATATTTCTGTTTTTTAGAGACAAAGTTTTACTCTGTCACCCAGGCTGGAGTCCAGTGGCACAATCATAGCTCATTGCAACCTGTACTCCTGAGCTCAAGCGATTCTCCTGCCTCTGCCTCCCAGGTAGCTGGGACTACAGATGCATGCTACCACACCCTGTTTTAAAATGTTTTTTATAGAAATGGAGTCTAGCTGTGTTGCAAAGGCCAGTCTCAAACTCCTAGCCTTGTGCACTCCTCCTACCTCAGCCTCCCAAAGTTCTGGGATTATAGGTGTGAACTACCATGCCTGCTTGGGATATTTAATATATTCTCTGGAATATGAAAGACCAAAGGGCAAAAAAATTGCTAAGACACACTCTTGAAGAGAAAGAACAAGACTATTTTGCAGGAAAATATGAAAATAAGCTCAATGGCCGGGCGCGGTGGCTCAAGCTTGTAATCCAGCACTTTGGGAGGCAAAGGCGGATGGATCATCTGAGGTTGGGAGTTCCAGACCAGCCTGACCAACACAGAGAAACCCCGTCCCTACTAAAAATACAAAATTAGCCGGGCGTGGTGGCACATGCCTGTAATCCCAGCTACCAGGGAGGCTGAGGCAGGAGAATCGCTTGAACCTGGGAGACGGAGGTTGCAGGGAGGTGGAGGTTGCAGTGAGCCGAGATGGTGCCATTGCATTCTAGCCTGGGTGACAGAGTGAAACTCTGTCTGGTGGAGGAGGAGGAGGAGGAAGAAGAAGAAGAAGGAGAAGAAGAAGGAGAAGGAGAAGGAGAAGGAGGAGAAGGAGGAGGAGAAGGAGGAGGAGAGGAGAAGGAGGAGGAAAAGGAAGAGGAGGAGGAGAAGAAGGAGGAGAAGGAAAAGGAGGAGAAGATGAAGAGGAAGAGGAGGAAGAAGAAGAAGAAGAGGAGGAGGAGGAGGAAGAAGAAAATAAGTTTAACATTATTAGTAATTACATTGACAAAAATTAAAATTTGGGCAATACCAAGTTAGTGAGGAAGCAAATCAATAGAAATGCATCTAGGCCAGTGGGAATGTAAATCAGTGCAACCACTTTGGAAAAAACTTTGCATTATCTAGTGGAGTTGAACATCCGCAAACTCTGTGACTCTGCAATTCTTTACTTTGTTATATATCCTAGAGAAACACACATGAGCACTGGGAAATATGTAAAAGAATGTTCACAGGGCATTATTTGAATTTGCAACACTCTGAAAACAACACATAAGGTTAATCAACAGTAAAATAAATTATATATTCGTAACATAAAAACACTATTTACCAATGAAAACAAGGGAACTACAACTGTGTAGTACATATAAATATGGATGAAACTCAAAAACAGCGTGGAGTAAAACAAGCCAATTACAAGAAGAACCATGCAGTATGCTTCTTATTTGAACTTCAAGAATAGACAAAGCTAAATATGTTTAAGGATATATATGCAGTTGGTAAAACCACAAAGAGAAGCAAGGGAATAATTAACCGAAAACTGAGCATCATGTTTACCTCTGGATTGGAGGGACAAGGATATAATCAGAATTAGGGGGTGGTTGGCATGCAGAGTTGTTTTTTGTTTTTCTTTCTTTTTTTTTTTTTTTTGAGACGGAGTCTTGCTCTGTTGCCTGGGAGTGCAATGGCGCCATCTCAGCTCACTGCAACTTCTGCCTCCCAGGTTCAAGCCATTCTCCTGCCTCAGCCTCCCTAATAGCTGGGACTACAGGCACGCCCAGTTAATTTTTTCTATTTTTTAATAGAGATGGGGTTTCACCATGTTGCCCAGGCTGGTCTCGAACTGTTGAGCTCAGACAATCTGCCCACATCAGCCTCCCAAAGTGCTGAGATTATAGGCGTGAGCCACCGCACCTGGCCACGGGGGTCTTTTAAGGCATTGATAATGTAAAATTTCTTGACTTTAGTAGTAGGTTCATAGGTTGCTTTTTATCCATTCTTTAAAGCATACATAAAAATTTTAGGCACTCATTTGGAGACATACTGGTTTGCAGTTTTTTTAAAAGAGGCAAAGGAAGAGTAAAAATCCAAAAAGGAGTTGGCTGGGAGCAGTGGCTCATGCCTGTAATCCAAGTACTTTGGAAGGCTGAAGCAGAAGGATCATTTGGAGCCAGGAGTTTGAGACCAGCCTGGGCAACAAAGCAAGACTCCATCTCTACAAAAAAAAATAATTTAAAAAAATTAGCCAGGCATGGTGACACGTGCTTGTAGTCCTAGCCACTGGGGAGGCTGAGGATCACTTGAGCCCAGGAATTTGAGGCCACAGTGAGCTAGGATTGCACCACTGCACTTGCTCCAGCCTGGGTGACAGAGCCAAGACCCAGTCTCTTTAAAAATAAAAACACTAAAGGCCAGGTGTGGCGGCTCATACCTGTAATCCCAGCACTTTGGGAGGCTGAGGCAGGAGGATCACTTGAGGTCAGGAGTTCAAGACCAGCCTGACCAACATGGTGAAACCCTGTCTCTACTAAAAGTACAAAAAAGTAGCCAGGCGTGGTGGGAGGCACCTGTAGTCCCAGCTACTTGGGAGGCTGAGGCAGAAGAATCGCTTGAACCTGGGAGGCAGTGGTTGCAGTGAGCCAAGATCACGCCACTGCACTCCAGCCTGGGTGACAGAGCGAGACTCCATCTCAAAAACAACAACAACAACAAAACACTAAAATAATGATAATAATGATAGTATAAAAGGGAATTGATAGATTCCAGAGTAAGTTCTAAATAAAACTAGACTGCATCCTAGCTTATCCTTCCAAGAATTAAGTAGAATGTCTCCATTCTTCACAATAATTTATTACATACTAAGCCCAAATAAGAAAGAAAAATGAGGTTAACTGCTGCTGTCAAAACACCTTCAAGGTAATAAAATTAGATGGAAGTATTAATTTTATTTTATTTTTGTTTTTACCACTATACAAATGAGCAGGAAGCATTCATTTTAAAATCTGTATGTGTTCATATTCATTTCTAAGAAAAAAAACTCTTACTAATTACATAGTGAAAACACAAATTTCTTCTTGCAATTAAACATTTCTAAAGAGTTTGATGGGTAAAAAAAATTAAGTTTAAAGATTCACAGAAAAGAAAAATTTTTTCATAAAATTTTAGAGCAGATATTTTTCTAAAAACTTCCAGCGCAGGAAAAAAAAAAAAAAAAAAAAAAAAAACGTTGTTGTTTGCAATCAAAGGATTGAGAATCAGAAAGGCATGGAACTTCTCAATAGCACATTAGGAGCTAGTGGAAATGTAGCAATGCTTCTACAATTTACAATTAAAATGATTTCCAACCTATAATTCTACACCTAGCTAAACTATCAAGTAAGTGTGAGAATACAGGAAAAACACATATACAGATAGATCTATATGTCTATATATGCATTATGTACAACTAAAAATGTGTATTTCTTACGCAGTCTTTTCCAGTGAACTCTGATGAAGTGTTCCACCAAAATGAGTGAGTGAACCAAGAAGAGGATGACATTAGATCCGGGAGATACAACAGAGGAGATAATCTCCAGGATGCCTGTGAAGAAAGATCCCTGGATCCCAGGATGATTATAGGACAAGTTGTTCATAATCCAGCAGGCCAGAAGATTTCCAGGGAAACTCATTCAAGAAGGTGAAAATTATGGATGACTGCTTCAAGATGAAAATGGGCCAAGCACAGCGGCTCACGCCTGTAATTCCAGCACTTTGGGAGGTTGAGGTGGGTGGATCACCTGAGGTCAGGAGTTCCAGACTAGCCTGGCCAACATGGCAAAACCCCATCTCTATTAAAAATACAAAAATTAGCCAGGCATAGTGGTGCACGCCTGTAGTCCCAGCTACTTGGGATGCTGAGGCAGGGAGAATTGCTTGAACCTGGGAGGCAGAGGTTGCAGTGAGCCAAGATCATGCCACTGTACTCCAGCCTGGGTGACAGAACAAGACTCCATCTCAAAGAAAAAAAAAAAGACAAATATGATGATGACTCTTTCAGGAAATGAAAATGATGAGATATCTGGTAGGTCTGGATGACTTAAGAGGAGATTTAAACATTTGGGATAATTTAAAGATGAGCTGGTGTTCGTCTTTATTTACTTAAATAAATGAAATGATTAATATGTGAATATTCTCTCAAGAAACAAAAATAAGCAATGTACATAAAAATTAAGCAGATGGCTATAATTTTTTTAAAAACAGAAAAGTTGATGAGAAATTGGAACCCTCATACATTGTTGGTGGGAATTTAAAATGGTGCAACACTGTGGAAAACAGGTTAGCAGTTCCTCAAAAAGTTAAAACAGACCAGGTGTGGTGACTCACGCTTGTAATTCCAGCACTTTGAGAGGCCAAGGCGGGTGGATCACTTGAGGTCTGGAGTTTGAGACCAGCCTGGCCGACATGGTGAAACCCCATCTCTAATAAAAATACAAAAAATTAGCCGGGCGTGGTGGCAGGCACCTGTAATCCCAGCTACTCAGGAGGATGAGGCAGGAAAATCGCTTGAACCCAGGAGTCGGAGGTTGCAGTGAGCTGAGATCGCAGCACTGTACTCCAGCCTGGGTGACAGAGTGAGGCTCTGTCTGAAAAAAAAAAAAAAAAGTTAAAACATAGAATTACTATATAGCTAGCAATTTCATTGTTAGGTGTATGCCCCAAAGAATTGAATATAGTTACATGCTCCAACAGATACTTGTACCCAAATGTTCCTATCGGTATTACTCATGGTAGCCAAAAGGTAGAAACAACCCAAATATCTGCAAATAGATGAATGGATAAATAAAATGTAGTGTATCCGTATGGAATATTACTTGGTCACAAAAGGAAGGAAGTACTGGCTGGGCGCGGTAAGCCTGTAATCCCAGCACTTTGGGAGGCCAAGACGGGCGGATCACGAGGTCAGGAGATCGAGACCATCCTGGCTAACACGGTGAAACCCCGTCTCCACTAAAAAATACAAAAAAAAAGTAACTGGGCGAGGTGGCGGGCGCCTGTCATCCCAGCTACTCGGGAGGCTGAGGCAGGAGAATGGCGTAAACCCGGAAGGCGGAGCTTACAGTGAGCCGAGATCCGGCCACTGCACTCCAGCCTGGGTGACAGAGCAAGGCTCCGTCTCAAAAAAAAAAAAAGGAAGGAAGTATTTATACAAGCTACAACATGGATAAACCTCAAAACAATATGCCAAGTGAAAGATCCAAATGCAAAAGGTCAAACCGTATGCTTCCATATAGAGGAAATAGTCAGAACAAATAAATCCATAGACACCAATTAGGTTGGTGTATCCCAGGGGCTGGGCATGGAGTGGGGTAGAGAGATAAGGAGGGCTTGCTTAATGGATACAGAGTTTTCTCTGGGGGCGATGAAAGCTTTTTGGAACTAGATAGAAGGGGTGGTTGCACAACATTGTGAATGTACTATGATAAATGCCACAGAATTGTACACTCTAAAATAGTTTAATTGCATGGTGGCTCACGCCTATAATCCCAGCACCTTGGGAAGCCAGGATGGGAAGATTGCTTGAGCCGGGAAGTTTGAGACCAGCCTGGGCAACACAGGGAGACCCTGTCTCTAAAAAAAAAAAAAAAAAAAAAAAAATTAGCTGTGTGTGGAGACTCGTGCCTGTATTCCCAGCTACCTGGGAGGCTGAGCGAGGAAGACTGCTTGAGCCAGAGAGGTCAAGGCTGCAGTAAGCCATGACTGCACCACTGCACTCCAACGTGGGCAAGAGAGAGACCCTGTCATGAAAAATAATAAATAAATAAATAAATAAATAAATAAATAAATAAAATGGTTACTGTGTGAATTTTACCTCAGGAAAAAAAAAATAAGCAAACATACTAACAGGCCAGTTACTACTTCCTAAAGAAAATAAAGGAGGTACAGGAAAGGAAAATAAATAAAAATTTACCACAAGCTTCAGCTCTGCATAGCATTTACATAGTCATGATAATGTAAACATGTAATGTGAAAATATGAATCTAACCAAAACTATGCCATAACAATAAAGAGGCGAAGGCTAGTACAGGAAGGGGGTCATGGAGCAAAGGGATGAAAGACATGAAGACTCATCCTTCATAGCCTGAATCAGAGGAGTAGATAAAGACTCAATCTAAAGATAAAATAAGGCAGGAAATGAGGGGGTTGGGAAACCAAACTGTTGAAGTGCATCCAAAGTCGCAGATGGTTAACATTCATTCCACTCACTTGGGAAAACATCTGGTGTGATTGTCTAATGGGTCATCACCTTCCTGCCACTTCTCTAAACACCCGCCACAGGAAAAGCACTGCACGATGTCCTTTATACCTAAAAGTAAGGAAACTTGATCAGTGCCACTGGCGTGGGCATCTGTCCATTAACATGCCCACATGTTAATGTCCAATAACCACCAGACCTGTAATAGTGAAAGCCTAGTCAGTCTCCAGCTGGGTTTTGTGACAGTCAGAAGCTGGTTACCAGTGAGGCAATTTTCTATATAAGACTCTGTCCACCAACGGGGTAACCAGCAAGTAGTCATTGAATGCTCCTACGCACCATGCACTTTGATGCGCACCATCCCTCTGCTCCATTCTCCTTTGATCAACCAACAGATTGGCAACCAGAATCTGGCATTGAAGCTCCATGAGGGGGCTGGCGCAGTGGCTCATGCCTGTAATCCCAGCACTTTGGGAGGCCAAGGCCAGCGGATCACCTGAGGTCAGGAGTCTGAGACCAGTCTGGCCAACATGGTGAAACCCTGTCTCTACTAAAAATACAAAAATTAGCTGGGCGTGGTGGCACATGCCTGTAATCCTAGCTACTCAGGAGGCTGAGGCAGGAGAATCGCTTGAACCCAGGAGACAGAGGTTGCAGTGAACTAAAATAGCGCCACTGCACTCCAGCCTGGGTGACAAGAGTGAAACTCCGTCTCAAAAAATAAGAATAAAAATAAGCTCCATGAGGGTAGAGGTTTTTGCTCACTAATGAATGACATGAACCTAGAAGAGTGCTTGGCACTCACGTGGCACTCAGTCAGTATTCGTTTAATGAATGAATCGGAAAGAATATATTTAGAGCTCAAGAAAAAAAAATCAGCAAATCTAGCAGCCCTTATGTAAGTGAATGCATGATGAATTAATTGCATCTTACCACATTATTGCCAGGTTTATTACACCAGAAATAGGATTAAGTCTCTTTGTGAAATTATATGTCTTTGGAAAGAAACTGGTATTTAGCTCTGCAAAAGGATCAAACTAGAAAAAGAACATTTCTCATCTTCCTTCCACTCTGGGAAAGCTGGGGCAGAGGAAAGCCTCCCAGAAGTATGAGATCCTAAAGCTTGCAAGATCTGAAAAGGGTGAGAGATGATTAGGATTTGTGTGGAGAGGTGGAGGATTGGAAAGGAAGAGGGCGAGGACACTGGTCAGAGGGGTCTTGCGGAAGGCTGACAAGAGGCAGACACAGTAGAGTAGGGAGAAATGGCAAACACTCTTTCCAAAGGCTTAAGATGGTGAGGCAGTCAGATTTTTTTTTTCTCAATGGAATATGTCTGCTAGGTAGAGTGACAACTATATTCTCTTTCTCTGTATTGCTCTGTGATATTTGTGACAGTTACTCAGTTAAAGATCTGCATTAACCTCCACTGTAACTTATGCATGTGTTTGGTCTGAGCAAGACCAGCAAAGTACCCAGGAACGTTTCCCTGATCATTGTGTATCTCAGGTAGAGATTTAGCTGAGAGGAACCAGCCCATCATTTGTGGACTGCAGAGGTGCTTCCTAATGACCAGCAGCTAAAGAGAAAATGTCACAATCTGGTGGAAGACGCTGCATGTTTAGGAATCATGAAAATGAATTCCCTGAGTTTCTCCTGCAGGCAGAATGTGGCAAAGATTGCTATCCATGTTCTTACTATCTCAAATCCTTCCATACTAATAGAAATTCCAATTTTCAGCTGGGCATATTGCCACCCAGGAAAAAGATTAGGTTTCCCAGCTCCTCTTATAGCTAGGTATGGTCATCTCCATCTGACTAAATTCTTTTTTTTTTTTTTTTTTTTTTTTGAGACGGAGTTTCACTCTTGTTGCCCAGGCTGGAGTGCAATGGCATGATCTCAACTCACTGCAACCTCCATCTCCCAGGTTCAAATGATTCTCCTGCCTCAGCCTCCCAAGTAGCTGGGATTACAGGCGCCCACCACCATGTCTAGCTAATTCTTTGTATTTTTAGTAGAGACGGAGTTTCGCCATATTGGCCAGGCTGGTCTCGAACTCCTGACCTCAGGTGATCCACCCACCTCGGCCTCCCAAAGTGCTGGGATTACAGGTGTGAGCCACCATACCTGGCCCATCCAATTAAGTTCTGATTAAAGAAATATAAGCAGAAGTGTCCTGTGACAGTTTCTAGGAGCACCTTGTCAGGGGACAAGAGGTGAGGAGAGTAACGTGTAGAAAAAAAAGACACGATGATGATCACAAATAGAATACTTGTATTCATTGTTAGTCCAGACCTTAAGGTTTCAAATGTGAAGGTTTACCACCTAAGGGAGGAATAGAAAACTGGGAGAGGATTTATGATGCAGGAAAGAAAAGGGATCTGTGTCAGGTGCAGTGGCTCACACATGTAATCCCAGCATTTTGGGAGGCCAAGGCAGGAGGATTGCTTGAGCCCAGGAGGTTGAGGCTGCAGTGAGCCATGATCTCACCACTGCCCTCCAGCCTGGGTGACCATGTTTCTAAAAATAGAAAGAAAAGAAAAAGAATCTATAAGAAATGCTGAAGCGAGGCCTGGCGCGGTGGCTCACGCCCGTAATCCCAGCATTGGGAGGCCAAGGTGGGCGGATCACGAGATCAGGAGATCGAGACCATTCTGACTAGTACAGTGAAACCCCGTCTCTACTAAAAATACAAAAAAGTAGCTGGGTATGGTGGCACACGCCTGTGGTTCCAGCTACTCCAGAGGCTGAGGCAGGAGAATCACTTGAACCTGGGAGGCAGAGGTTGCAGTGAGCCGAGATTGTGCCACTGCACTCCAGCAACAGAGCGAGACTCTGTCTCCAAGGCAAAAAGAAAAGAAAAGAAAAAGAAATGCTGAAGCTAGTGGAGATTGCTGAGTGTAGCTAAATGCAAGCCCAGGAACATCAAGTGTATGTGGGAATTAAAGGTTAAGCAAGCAAGTGGTCACAACCTACTGACTCACCTGTGTAGAAAAGACCTGCTTTGGCCAGTGCTGCAGCTCCCACAGCTGACTCCCAGGGCCAGTCCTTAAAAGAGTCCAGCCGTAGTTCTTCGTAAGCAAAGATGCTGTCATTGCAATAAGCTTGAATAAAAAGCACAGAGTGAGACCAGCAGGCTTTAGTCTTTTTTTTTTTTCTATGTCTCTATTGCTGCGGCACAAATTAAAGAGACCAGTAGGCTTTGATATTGCAAGTATCAGTGTTCAAGTTGTCCCTTCACAGTTACAGATGGAATGATGTCTAGAGTGTGCTTCAGAACAAATGGGGGAAAAAAGACAAAAAGAGATAGGGACAAAAAAACCAAAAGAAGAACTAAACAAGCAAAGCCTTTGGAAAATGTTTGAGGTTTTACCTGATGCCATAGGTAATTCTCTCTGGACCCAGGAATTCACAAAATGTTCTGCCTGAGGGAAATTAAAATTCAAGTTGTTGTCTTTTTTTTTTTTTTTTTTTTTTTTTTTAGGCAGAGTCGCACTCTGTTGCCCAGGCTGAAGTGCAATGGCACATTCTCGTCTCACTGCAACCTCCGCCTCCTGGGTTCAGGTGATTCCCCTGCCTCAACCTCCCGAGTAGTACAGGCATGTGCCACCACACCCAGCTAATTTTTTTGTGTGTGTATTTTTAGTAGAGACAGACACCATGTTGAAGTTTTTTTTTTTTTTTTTGGAGACAGAGTCTTGCTCTGTCGCCCAGGCTGGACTGCAGTGGCGTGACCTTGGCTCACTGCAAGCTCCGCCTCCCGGATTCACACCATTCCCCTGCCTCAGCCTCCCGAGTGGCTGGGACTACAGGCACCCGCCACCACGCCCGGCTAATTTTTTGTATTTTTAGTAGAGATGGGGTTTCACCATGTTAGCCAGGATGGTCTCGATCTCCTGACCTCGTGATCTGTCCATCTTGGCCTCCCAAAGTGCTGGGATTACAGGTGTGAGCCATCGCGCCCGGCCCATGTTGGAAGTCTTGAGGTTGGTCTCGAACACCTGATCTCAAGAGATCTGCCCAACTCGGCCTCCCAAAGTGCTGGGATTACAGGCGTGAGCTACTGCGCCTGGCCTGATTGTTCGACTTATGAAGTATATACCTATCTGTGAACAAGAACTGAACGAAGTTTTCCCCAGAATGAAGAGTTTCATTGGCTGGAACGGCAGGGTCGTAGGAGAATTATCCCTTTAATTTTGATTTCTGTTGATGTTGCAATTGTTTTTATGCAGTGCAAGCAAGCAAACACACACACACACACACACACACACACACACACATGCATGCAAGCTGTGAATGTTTATGCCTACTCAGTAGGAAGCCTTCTCAGGGTCACTGTTTCCAGAAACTGACCTTGAAAACAGACTTGCATTTAGATATCACAGATGTACTTTGACGAATGAGGAAGTAAGAGACATAGAATGGTATCTAAATTCATCAGGGTATTATATATTGAGCAACTGACTCTTCTGGGAAAGCTGCATCCAATTTCTTTTTGGGGAAACACCTCTCTTCCCCCACTGTCTGGCCATGTTCTCTCTAGAGTTCTGGTCTTCTGAGTCATGTTAATCAATACATTCTCATTTTTATTTAAGCCAGTTTGGATTCCATTTCCCATCACTCTCCACTAGGAAATTGGTACTGATACAGGATAGTTAGCCAGTGGGGAAGAGCCAGCTCTGCGGCCCACTGTGGGTGACAGCGCATAGGTCAGGAGATCATAGCAAGCGTGCAGATGGGGCAGCAGAGGGAAGCTGGGACAAGTGGATTCATTCATAGAGGGGAAGACTATCAGGAAGGCAAGCAGAGCCCATCAGAAGCCAGCTCTGGAAAAAGAAAAAGGCTCTAAGTCAGCAAGTGAATGTGATATTTTTTCACTTTGAAGATGGGAGCCAGGGGAATTAAAGGAGAAAGGAAGAAAGAAATCAAACCCATGACATAAAAAGAATGCCTACGCCCTTCTGAGTCAGACATTTGTAGGTAATCCAAAGACTTGAGAAAAAAATTGCTGTTCTACATTACCGTTATGTCAACAAATCCCTTGTAGCTTTGAATATACTGGGCAATTTCCTCTGAGGATTTCTTACTTTGAAGAAATTCACATCTGTAATTAATGAATATAATTAAAATTTACCCCAATACTGTGATAGAGCTGTCCTATATCACGATGAACATTTATAAAAACGTACTGAATTGTTGAATTTTATTATACTTCAATAAAATTGCCCAAAAATTTACCACAAAACTTACTTAGGAGAATTACCATTATTCTCATATAATTATTTTTTATTTTTATTAGTGACAACATATGTAGTTATTTAAAATTAAATCTTCAGATTAACTTTTTTCTTGAAATAAAATATACAGTACAATCAAAGAGACTGATTTACAGTAAATATAGGATGGAGCTTTTGATTTTTGGAATTAAGCAGTGGTGACTAAATCTAGTACCTGGGGTTATATGAAAGCTACTGGCAGTAAAGAGAACTACATTTAAAATAATAGGCCAGATGCAGTGGCTCAAATCCAGGAGTTCAACACTAGCCTGGGCAACATGGCGAAACCCCATCTCTACAAAAAATACAAAAATTAGCCGGGCATGGTGCCACACCTCTGTTGTACCAGATACTCGGGAGGCTGAGCGGGGAGGATCACCTGAGCCTGGGGAGGTAGAGGCTGCACTGAGCCACGATCAGGCTGCTGCACTCCAGCCTGGGCAACAGACTGAGACCCAGTCTCAAAAATAAACACAAAAAATCTTTTTAAAATAACAATAATATATTTATCTACCAAACAAAAAATTACCATGCATTAGAAAGTAATGTATATTAGGCACCAGGCATGATGGCTCACACCTGGAATCCCAGCACTTCGGGAGGCTGAGGCAGGTGGATCACGAGATCAGGAGTTCGAGACCAGCCTGGCCAAGATGATGAAACCCTGTCTCTACTAAAAGTACAAAGATTAGCTGGCTGTGGTGGCAGGTGCCTGTAATCCCAGCTACTCAGGAGGCTGAGGCAGGAGAATCGCTTGAACCTGGGAGGTGGAGGTTACAGTGAGCCAAAATCACGCCCCTGCATGCTAGCCTGGGCAACAGAGCAAGACTCTGTATCAAAAAAAAAAAAAAAAAGAAAAGAAAAGAAAAAGTAATGGATGTTAATTTATAAGTTTTGATTTTTTAAAAAAAGAGCATATTGAATACCATTTTAAAAACACATTCATTTCCCATAAAAGAGAAGCAGTTTTAAAATTAACTTTTAAAAATTCCTCCAATTCAGCTGGGCATGGGGGATCATGCCTATAATCCCAGCACTTTTGGAGGCTGAGGCAGGTGGATTGCTTGAGGCCAGGAGTTCGAGACCAGCCTGGTCAACATGGTGAAAGCCCATCTCTACTAAAAATACAAAAATTAGCCAGGCATGGTGGCAGCCACCTGTAATCCCAGCTACTTGAGAGGCTGAGGCAGGAGGATCACTTGAACCTGGGAAGCAGAGTTTGCAGTGAGTCATGATTGCACCACTACACTCTAGCCTGGGCAACAGAGCGAGACTCTGTCTCAAAAAAAAAAAAAAAAAAAAAAAAAAAATCCCTCTAATTCGAATTTCAGTTTTCTTTCTATGGTGCTGTAGCAAAGAATGGGTTGTGAACCCAAAGGCTGGAGCATTAGTCCCCACTCTTCCACCAGTGGGGTGTGACCAACCTTGCCATCATTCTCTTAAATAAATCACAGGAGAACATGGATGCCATCAGATGATCTGTATATTTCCCCAGGGTCACGATTCTATGTGATAGGCAGCCAGGGTCCCCAGTTTTCAGGTGTAAAAATCTTTCCAAAGATTGCCCTAAGTCTGCACATAATCCATATGGTACACAATGCACGGGGTGTTTCCCTGTTCTCATGATTTATATGGATTGAGGAGGAACTCAGTACCTTAAAAAATTACCATAAAATCAGCTTACATTTATGGAGTGCCACATTTTAAAAAGTGTTAGGGTATACTCATTTTGTTGAGAGTTTATAAAAGAAGCAACAAATTAAAGCCCAAAAAGCTAAAAACAGAGTAACCAGCAAGAAACTTGGGGATTCTTGCTCTAATTCCACCTCTTAAATTTTATTGACTGACCATATGCTTATGATGACAAACAAATGAAAGGCAAAACAGTTGGTCATCAGTCATCCTCACATTATACATGGTAATTTTTACAAAGCATTTGATCCATATACTTTTTTTCTCATCCTTACAGCCACCAGACAAGCTGTATATTATTATCTGCTGTGGAAGTTGCAGATACCAAGATGAAATCACTTTTGTCAGACCCATACAAAATAGGGCTTGGAAGGCGCGAAGGAATGGGGTTCAGGTTTACATGTCCAAGATAGGAACGGTTCCAAAGACTTTCTTTTTTTTTTTTTTTTTTGAGACAGAGTCTCGCTCTGCCGCCCAGGTTGGAGTACAGTGGCCAGATCTCAGCTCACTGCAAGCTCCGCCTCCCAGGTTTACGCCATTCTCCTGCCTCAGTCTCCCGAGTAGCTGGGACTACAGGCGCCCGCCACCTCGCCCGGCTAGTTTTTTGTATTTTTAGTAGAGACGAGGTTTCACCGTGTTAACCAGGATGGTCTCGATCTCCTGACCTCGTGATTCGCCGTTTCGGCCTCCCAAAGTGCTGGGATTACAGGCTTGAGCCACCGCGCCCGGCCGGTTCCAAAGACTTTCTAAGAATCCCATAAAAATCCCTTCACGCCTGTCACACATCTCCTGCTTTGCATTGCTTGCATGTATGCACATATTTCTATGACAAGGTTTATTACTGCACATTCTTTAGGACTGCAGCAATTCAGATAAGATAAGATGAGATGAGATGCTCTCAAAAGAACACCTGCCCAGGAATGGCATCTCCACCAATGAACACACAACAACTCTGGCTTTGAGCCTTCAGAACCAAGGAATTCTCTTTGCCCCTCTCGCCTCTCCCCTCTCCCCTCTCCCCTCTCTTCTCTCTCTCTCTCTCAAGAAACTGGAGCCTTGTCATATTGCCCAGGCTGTTCTCAAACTCCTGGCCTACAACAACCCTCCCGCCTCAGCCTCCCACATAGCTGTGATTACCCATATGAGCTACCATGCACTGCTATGAACTCTGTTTCTAAGGAGCTTATGTGAACCTCTCCCTTTTGCCAAGAAAACTTCCCTTTACCCTCACTGCACGTGCCTGGGGTTTACCATAGTGCATTCCAAATCATAACCCTGTTTTCTTATTCCTGAATAAATTTGACATATTTGGGGATATCTTTCTCTAATTTTTTTTTTTTAGGTCGACACTGCATTTTACATATGAGATTCAGACAAGGTCAGTCCCTTGTCTAGGGTCTGGTAGTCAGGTAGCCGCGGATTCAAGCCTGGCTCTATCTCCTAAGCCTCTGCACTACCCCCTGCCCTTGTATGACAGCCTGAGCTCCTTCCTGCTCTAGGAGTGGTTGCTGGACTGCTGTCTCCCCTCCCTGTGCTTATTACCTTACCCTCCGTCCTATGTTAGAGAAGGCACATGAAGGACCCTCCAGACAGGATGTGTGGCTCTAGTAGGTGCTAGTCACATGATAATGTGATAATGTGTGAATGGTGCCACTGGCACTTGTCCAGTGTATAACCCAGCGACACTAAACACAGTGACCCTGAGGCTAAGTGAAGCCTGAGCTGAGGTCCGAGCTGAGACAGGTGCCCACGAGCAGTGGCTTGTGCTCCAGCCAGGGCTGCTGTTCACTGTTACATATGCATAAATGGCGCACTGTCAGCTCGGACAAGGACTGCCTGGGGGGCTGTTTTGATTCGTCAAGGAGCCAGAGTGACTATCAAATGATTTCAAAATTCTAGCTTCATTCGTCCCTATAACCATCTCGTCTGCTTGTCTAACTTTCTCCTCTTCCTGCCTCTCTTTCCCCTCTTCTCCCTTGTTTACTTCCTCCCTCCTAATCTCCTCACTTTCTTTTCAACTGCAAAAGTAATATATACTTGTTTCCAAAAATTTAAACAAGACAGCAATGAACAAAATAAATGTGAAAATCTGTCACTACTTCACCCCCTGACAAATCCAGATCCAGAAGTATCTACAGTTTGGTTTATATATTTTCATAAGTTTTTCTATGTATTTTCTTTTTTTTTTTTTTTTTTTTTTTTGAGACGGAGTCTTGCTCTGTCGCCCGGGCTGGAGTGCAGTGGCCAGATCTCAGCTCACTGCAAGCTCCGTCTCCCGGGTTCACGCCATTCTCCTGCCTCAGCCTCCCGTGTAGCTGGGACTACAGGCGCCCGCCACCACGCCCAGCTAGTTTTTTGTATTTTTTAGTAGAGACGGGGTTTCACCGTGTTAGCCAGGATGGTCTCGATCTCCTGACCTCGTGATCCGCCCATCTCGGCCTCCCAAAGTGCTGGGATTACAGGCTTGAGCCACCGCGCCCGGCCTTCTATGTATTTTCAAACAACTCCATGTACAGTTTAGTGGTCTTAAACATTTTCAAAGTCTCCTACTGCACTTATTGTGCATATTGCTTTCCCACATAACATATCAAAACATATCAAAGATATCCATTCCCTTTTTTTTCTTTTGAGATGGAGTCTCACTCTGTTGCCCAGGCTGCAGCACAGTGGTGTGATCTCAGCTCACTGCATCCTCTGCCTCCCGGGTTCAAGCAATTTCCTGCCTCAGCCTCCCAAGTAGCTAGGACTACAGGCACGCACCACCACGCTCAGCTAATATTTGTATTTTTAGTAGAGATGGGGTTTCACCATGTTGGCCAGGGGAGAGGGGAGATGGGAGAGGAGAGAGGGGAGAGAAGAGTTCAGCACTTGAACTCTAGCCTCAAGTGATTTGCCCGCCTTGGCCTCCTAAAGTGCTGGGATCACAGGCATGAGCCACAGTGCCCAACCATTTTTTTTTTGAGATGGAGTCTTGCTCTGTTGACCAGGCTGGAGTGCAGTGGTGCGATCTCAGCTCACTGCAACCTCTGCCTCCAGGGCTTAAGCAGTTCTCCTGCCTCAGCCTCCCAAGTAGCTAGGATTACAGATGCCTGCCACCACGCCTGGCCAATTTTTGTATTTTTAATAGAGACAGGGTTTTACCATGTTGGCCAGGCTGGTCTCGAACTACTGACCTCAAATGATCCACATGCCTTGGCCTCCCAAAGTGCTGGGATTACAGGCATGAGCCACCATGCTGGGCCTCCATTCACTTTTGTGGGCATGGCTGTCCATGTGCAAGATGACTTATAAATGTAAATAACTGTGCCCAGGTTTGTGGTTAATTTAGCATCCAACCAACAACTTTGCATGTAGTACATGTGTGACAAATATTTGTTAAAGAAAATAGAATCTGAGGCTAGGCACAGTGGCTCATGCCTATAACCCCAGCACTTTGGGAGGCCAAGGCAGGTGGACTGCCTGAGGTCAGGAGTTTGAGACCAGCCTCACCAATATGGAGAAAACCCATCTCTACTAAAAATACAAAAATTAGCCAGGTGTGGCGGCATGCACCTGTAATCCCAGACCTGGGTGGGTAAGGAAGGAGAATCACTTGAACCCAGGAGGTAGAGGTTGCAGTGAGCCAAGATGGTACTGCTGCACTCAAGCCTGGGCAACAGAGTGAGACTGTCAAAAGAAAGAAAGAGAGAAAGAGAGAGAGAGAGAGAGGAAGAAAGAGAAGGAAGGAAGGAAGGAAGGAAGGAAGGAAGGAAGGAAGGAAGGAAGGAAGGAAGGAAGGAAGGAAGGAGGGAAGGAAGGAGGGAGGGAAGGAAGGAGGGAAGGAAGGAAGGAAGGAAGGAGAGAGAGAGAGAAAGAGAGAAAGAAAGAGAGGAAAGAAAGAAAGGAAGAAAGGAAAGAAGGAAGGAAGGAAGGAAGGAAGGAAGGAAGGAAGGAAGGAAGGAAGGGAGGGAGGGAGGGAGGGAGGGAGGGAGGGAGGGAGGGAGGGAGGGAGGAAGGAAGGAAGGAAGGAAGGAAGGAAGGAAGGAAGGAAGGAAGGAAGGAGAAAGAAAATAGAGTCTGAGTCTGACCAGACTGCTAGATCCAAGTGTCAGGTTCCTGGAAATGCAGAAGGTAGAGGAACATGTTAGATGATGCCAGAGGAACACATTTGCTAAATCTAGAGTAGACGGAATTTTACAGGACAGATTACATGGCTTCTTTAACAAATAAGCGACAAGAAAAAAGAGATGGATAAAGAGGAAATCTACAAATTAAAAATCTTAAGGGGATAAAAATACAAAAATTAGCCTATCTTGGTGGTGTGCACCTATAATCCCAGCTACTCAGAAGGCTGAGGCAGGAGAATCACTTGAACCTGGGAGGCAGAAGTTGCAGCGAGCTGAAGTCATGCCACTATACTCCGGCCTGGGTGGCAGAGCAAGACTCTGTCTCAAAAAAAAGAAAGAAAGAAAAATTTAAGCAAAAATTATCTACTTACTTGGGGAACCATTTGGCATGTTCCTTCCAAGGATCATCTCCTTCTTCCCAATTTCCTAAACATCCACCACAGGAAAAACACTGTACCGTGTCCTGTTTACCTATATATGAAGGAAAATATTTAGATTGCCTGGCAGTGGCACCAGAGGGTATGTACACAGAGTTGATTGTTTTGTGCAGGAGCAAGACATGCTCCAGCGTGCCTGTGCACTCCCGATCTTATTGGCCTGAGTCTCCATCCACAGTCCCACCACCCGAAATGGGCCCCTCCACCACGGCCGCACTCCAGGTACAGAACCCTAAGCTGTGTAACTCAATATCCTTCCCCAGCTGCCTCCCAGAGCTGGTATGTTGCTCTTTGAGCTCTCAGGGTCAAAGTGATAAGGAAGCCGACTAACACCAGGACCAGCTGAAGTAATGTGCAATTAGAAAACCTATGTTTTAGCTTTGCCATGACATTTCAGCAGAAACATAGGCATGTTTCGTAAACTCTCTGAGCCTCCATGAACTCAGCTGTGAAATGGGAGAGAAAGAGGTAAATTCATTGGATAGGAATTAGTACTCACTCTATGCCTAGCATAAAGTAGGTACAGTACTCAGTAAATGATCATTGTTATTGTAAGAATTCTCATTTATGTATCATAACCCCTAGGGCAGGGCTAGGACAAACAAACAAAACCCTCCAATACTGCAGCAATGAGAAGAATCAAAGAAAGATCATGTAAGAGCAGTAGAGGGAGGATGGGTGAGGAGACTGATATCAGGATGACCACATGAGTTATTTAATCTTTTCAGGGCCTTAAGAATACAGCCAGTATTTTCTAAGGTCCAAGTTTAAGGAGAAGTAACTTTCTTATTTTATGTATATTTGGCAAATTAACACAGGCTGTACTAAATATAAAATGAGCAAAAATAAAAACATTGACATTGAATTTTGATAAACTAGACCTTATACCTAATATAACACATTTAACCAGGGAAGAAAGTTTAGCCAAATATTGCAAAAGCAATTGAAAAATGAAACCTAAACTTAAAACGCCAGAGAAACACTTCAGAGAATAATTTCAAGGTACCTGTAAAGACAAAACCAGCCTCTGAGAGCACACGTGGGGATATCCCTTGGGCGTAAAATGGCCAGTGCCTGAAGGATCCAAGTCTAGCCTCCTCTTCTTGGTACCTCATTTTACCTCCTCTCAGCCTGCTCCTCAGATTCTTCACCCTTATGTCGTACTTGGCAATGTTACCAACATCCTTGTTCAGAAGGAACCCACAGTCTGGATGAAACTTCTTGTGGTCTTCTATGGGGAGTCTCCTGAGGCTGGCACCAAAGAGGATGAGGCTACAGCAGAAGCACTGAACCCCAGCTTTTACCCCAGTGAAGTAAAACCCAGCGGCCGCCATCTCCTGCGGTGTCCATGAGCTGTAGGGTTCATAGGTCACAAAAGTCTTTAACCTTTTTGCTTCACTGCGCATTTGAGAGTTGTAGCCTTTCCGCATTTTTGCCTGCACTTTCTGCTCATCTTCTTCCATTTCCTTTGCCAACTGAACTGCATCTATGCCCAGAAGAGCAGACAGCTCTGGCAGAAAATCGTAATCAAACTGGGAGATCCTCTCATCAGAGGCTTCCTGCTGGGTGGCCATTTTCTGAAAAGGGAAATAAAGCAGGTTGATCCCTTAGAGTAAGATTTTTCTTAGAAGAGCATTTCCCACTGTTTCTGAAGAAACCAGGAATTAAAGGAATGCCTGAAATTTCAACGCAAAAGAGAAACTGTTGGGAAAATTATGAAACATCAGTATTCGTCTACTTAATCAACAACTATTTACTAAGCACTTCCTATATATCAGGTACTGTGCTAGGCACTGGGGATCTAGCAACCAACAGGACAGACACCGATCTGCCTCCATTCACGAAGCTTTCCAGACATTAGCTATGGACACAATGTGGTAACACGAGCATATACTTACCATTTACATTAAAGAAAAACATACACAAAATTGGATAGCCTGGCAGCAATGATTTGATCAAATTACTCAGTTTTTAAAAATCATTATTTTGTGTTCAGTTTGAAGTCCCAGTGCTCTGTGCCAAAGCTGCAGATGTCCCACTATAATTATAGCCAGGGGAGATGGCTCATGCCTGTAATCCCAGTGCTTTGGGAGGCCAAGGTGGGAGGACTGCTTAAGGCCAGGAGTTTGACCAGCCTGGGCAACACAGCAAGATCCCATCTCTCTACATGTGTCTCTTTATATATATGCATATATATGTAATCTCTCTCTCTATATATATATTCTCCGTGTGTGTGTATATATATATAATATCACATTAATAAATACATATCTGCAAATTACTCCTTAATGGCTTCATGAATCTCCTCATTTAAGACATTCAGGCTGTTGCCATTTTTCTCTGTATAAACAAATGTTATAGGATAACTGAGTATCCTATAACAAAAAGTGTTTTTCCAGTCATTATTTTTTCCTCACAACAAAGTTTCAAGAGAATTCGAGTCAAGTCATATGTATATTTTTCAAGATTTTTATATATGTCACCAAATTGCTCTGGAGAATGGTGAAATGAAGTCCTTCATATTGTCAGGGTCCTGGTTCTCTCCCAGAATGTTCTCTGTCCTGGGTTTTCAGATCTCAAAATAATTTTATATCCTTCCATTATAGAAGCAGCCCATTAAAGCCCAGTAACAGGCCAATGACTGTTTTTCAGAGGACATATACCTGCCAGAAGCCTCAGGTAACTTTCTAGTCCCAAATCCCCATGACCATCCCTGAGGGGCAGTCACAGGTTTGGTAAGAAGCTCCATGAGCGTGAGTCGGTTGCCGACACTGCTAACATCATTTGAACACTGAGGTGCTATGGCCCCAAAGGAATCTCTTCGAAGTTCCCAAAGAGTCTGAGATTTGTTCATTTTTCAAAGCTCCATATAAATTAGCTCCCCATTCCGTCTTAACTTTGAGAATAAGGGTTGATAAAATTCCCAAATGTGGTAGGTGATTTCTCCAGGAACCAAGAAATTGAACCAATTTTTGTGCCTTTTCCTCTGTCTTGTAGCTAGCAACTTAATTTTGGATGTTTGGGAATGTTTCTAGTGGCTCTAGCCCAAGTACTTTCTTTCCTTTTTTTTTTTTTTTTTTTGAGACAGAGTCTCACTCTATCACCCAGGCTGGAGTGCAGTGGCGAGATCTTGACTCACTGCAACCTCTGCCTCCCGGGTTCAAGCAATTCTTCTGCCTCAGCCTCCTGAGTAGCTGGGATTTCAGACAGATGCCACCAAACCCGGCTAATTTCTGTATTTTTAGTAGAGACGGGGTTTCACCATGTTGGCCAGGCCGGTCTCCAACTCCTGACCTCAAGTGATCCGCCTGCCTTGGCCTCCCACTCTTGTCCTTGTCGCCCAGGCTGAAGTGCAGTGGCACTTCGGCTCCCACACTGGGATTACAGGCATGAGCCACCACATCCAGCCTAGCCCAAGTAATTTCTAAGAATTTTACCATTTATACTAAGCCTTGCATTTTAGCCAGGTAATCAGCCCCTCCCTGGTAGTTACATGATTAACAAGCACTTCCAATTCAGTCTTAGCTGGATATTTGGATTGAGAGATTAACATTATATCATCAATATAATAAGACATAGTATTAGCCAGGTGCAGTGGCTCATGCCCGTAATCCCAGCACTTTGGGAGGCCGAGGTGGGCAGATCACCTGAGGTCAGGAGTTCAAGACCAGCCTGGCCAACATGGTGAAACCCTGCCTCTACAAAAATATAAAAAATTAGCCGGGCATGATGGTGGGTGCCTGTAATCCCACCTACTTGGGAGGCTGAGGCGAGAGAATCACTTGAACCCAGGAGGCGGAGGTTGCAGTGAGCCGATACCTTCCCATTGCACTCCAGCCTGGGCAACAGAGTAAGACTCCATCTCAAAAAAAAAAAAAAAAAAGGCCGGGCGCGGTGGCTCAAGCCTGTAATCCCAGCACTTTGGGAGGCCGAGGCGGGTGGATCACGAGGTCAGGAGATCGAGACCATCCTGGCTAACATGGTGAAACCCCGTCTCTACTAAAAATACAAAAAACTAGCCGGGCGTGGTGGCGGGCGCCTGTAGTCCCAGCTACTCGGAGGCTGAGGCAGGAGAATGGCGTGAACCCGGGAGGCGGAGCTTGCAGTGAGCCGAGATCGCGCCACTGCACTCCAGCCTGGGTGACACAGCGAGACTCTGTCTCAAAAAAAAAAAAAAAAAAAAAAAAAGATACATTATTTTCCAGTGAAATCAAATCTAAGTTGTTCCTCATTACGTTGTAGCAATAAGCAAGAGAATTTAAATGTCCTGTGGGAGCACCTTAAATGTACATTGGTGGCCTTTTCACACAAATGCAAATTGGTTACGATTTTCTTCTGAAATAGGAATCAAATAGAAAGTAAGTGGCCTGGTGTGGTGGTTCACACCTGTAATTCTAGCATTTTGGGAGGCCAAGGTAGGAGGATTGTTTGTGGCTAGGAGTTTGAGGCCAGTTTAGGCAACTTAGTGAGACCCTTGTCTCTACAAAAAATTTCAAAAATTAGCCAGATGTGGTGGCACAGCTACTCGGGGAGCGGAGGCAGGAGGATCACTTGAGCCCAAGAATTCAAGGTTACAGTAAGCCACAATTATGCCACACACTGTTCATTTTATGAAATCTCTTTCCTCAAAGGCATCCCCATTCAGATGTCATATCCATTCCAATAATACATCAGGGAGAAATGACAACAATTACGCAATTATATTGCATCATTGAATTATATTGAAATATAATTCACTGGGAGTAGTGCCTCATGCCTGTAATCTCAGCACTTCAGGAGGCCAAGGTGGGTGGATCACCTGAAGTCAGATGTTTGAGACCAGCCCGGCCAACATGGCAAAACCCCATCTCTACTAAAAATACAAAGAAACAAACAAAAAAATTAGCCGGGGGTGGTGGCGCGTGCTTGTAGTCCCAGCTACTCGGGGCCAGCCATGGTGACTCACGCCTATAATCCCAGCACTTTGGAGGCTGAGGCCAGGAGTTTAAGACTAGCCTGGCCAACATGGTGAAACCCCATCTCTACTAATAATACAAAGAAAAAGAAAAAGAAAAAGAAAAACCTGGGCATGGTGGTGCATGCCTATAATCTCAGCTACTCAGGAGGCCGAGGCAGGAGAATTGTTTGAACCCAGGAGGCGGAGGTTGCGGTGAGCCAAGATCATACCACTGAACTCCAGCCTAGGTGACAAGAGTGAAACTCCATCTCAAAAAAAAAAGAAAGAAATGTAATTCACCCATCATAAAATTCACCCATTTAAAATGAACAACTCAGGGTGTGGTGACTCATATCTATAACCCCAGTGCTTTGGAGGCCAAGGTGGGAGGATTGCTTGAGGCCAGGAGTTGAGATGAGCCTGGGCAACATAGCTAGACCCTGTCTCTAAAAAATTTTTTTAAAAAGAAAATGAAAACTTAGCTGGGCACGGTGGCACGTGCCTGTAGTCCTAACTACTCGGGAGGCTGAGGTGGAAGGATCTCTTGAGCCCAGGAGTATGAAACTGTAGAGAGCTACGATTGCACTACTATACTCCAGTCTGGGAAACAGAGTGAGGCTCTGTCTCTAAAAAAAGTAAATACAATGTACAGTTCAATAGATTTCAGCGTATTCATAAACAAGCAGAACCATCACCACAATCAATTTTAGAACATTTTCATCCCCCTAGAAAGAAACGCTATGCCCATTAGCAGTTGCTTTCCATTTTTCCCATTACCCTCCTACCCCTACGCAACTACTATGCTATTTTTTGTCTCTATAGATTTGCCTACTGGGGACATTTCATATAGATTGAATCAAACAATACGTGGTCCTTTGTGTCTGGTTGCTTTCACTTAGCAAAATGTTCATGTTGGTAGAGGTGCTTAAAAAATAAAATAAAAAGAACAACAAAAAAAGGAAGCCAAATTCATCCATGTTGTAATGTTTTAGTACTTCACATTCCTTTTCATTGTCAAATGATATTTCATTATGTGGATATACCACATTTTATTATTATTATTATTATTATTTTTTTTTTTTTTTTTTTGAGACGGAGTCTCGCTCTGTCGCCCAGGCTGGAGTGCAGTGGCCGCATCTCAGCTCACTGCAAGCTCCGCCTCCCGGATCTATGCCATTCTCCTGCCTCAGCCTCCCGAGTAGCTGGGACTACAGGCGCCCGCCACCTCGCCCGGCTAGTTTTTTGTATTTTTTAGTAGAGACGGGGTTTCACTGTATTTAGCCAGGCTGGTCTCGATCTCCTGACCTTGTGATCCGCCCGTCTCGGCCTCCCAAAGTGCTGGGATTACAGGCTTGAGCCACCGCGCCCGGCCACATTTTATTATTATATATACCATATTTTATTCCTCAACCCAGTGGATATGTGGATTGTTTACACTTTTTGGCTATTATAAATTCTGCTGTGCACATTAGTGTACAAGTTTTTGTATGGACATTTTTCACTTTTTTTTTTCTTGAGACAGGGTCGCGCTCTGTCACCTAGGCTGGAGTGCAATGGCTTGATCACCATCCATTGCAGCCTCAACCTCATAGGCTGAAGCGATCCTCCCACCTCAGCTTCCCAAGTAGCTGGTACTACAGGAGCACACCACCATTTTTTATAGAGACAGGGTGTGGAGGGTGTTCGGGGGGGGTCTCCCTATGTTGCCCAGGCTAGTCTCAAATTCCTGGGCTCAAGTGATCCTCCCACCACAACCTCCTAAAGTGCTGGGATTACAGGCAAAAGCCACCACACCTGGCCCATTTTCCACTCTTAAACTTACAGTTGCATTGTCATATTAAACTAATTAAGTTAATTGCCCTTTAATTTTCTATTAGCAGGTATAACAATACATTATGCACCATGCTCC